TGCGTTGGAATGGTAGGGACTTGTTTGCTGGATAGTAGATCGGTCCGTCGCTGGCTGCTGAGCATTAAAAATATTGTCTAAAAAAGAAAAAAAAATAATTTTAAAATGTTACATTACAATAAAAAATCTGACTTATTTTGATCGCAAGTATGTACAACAAATTGATTTCTAGGCTTTTATTGTGTTCACAATATCTGACTGATTGTGGAATGGGGCAATTATTGTATCTCATTTTAACCCACTTTTAATTCATTGATTTCATTCAAATTTTCCGGATACATTCTTCGTAGATGGCAAAGCGATATATATATATATATATATATATATATATATATATATATATATATATATATATATATATATATATATATATATTCGGCGAGGGCTAAAAGATGACCGCGAGTGAAATTCTCCCTATTTGAGCTATATTACGAAAAAAACTTTTGCCGAACGAACCCCCTTTATACTTCGTGAGGTTGTAGAAGAAAGCTTAAGGGTGTCAGAAAAAACTCGGCTTTCTTTCATATACGCTTTGGTCGCTAAAATATATTAAAGATTTCATGAGCAACCGAAGCTTTTATGAAAAAAGGAGTTAAGTTTTATTGTCTTAAATTCAGTGCATTTAAAAGCTTGTCGCTATATAATATATTCTTTTTTCTACTTTTTAGTTATTTTTTATTTACGAAGTCAACACGACTAAAATTACTTGCTTTAAAACACCATCAGTAGCTTGCGAAATCAGACGATTATCTGCCCCGTGAAAGCTGCCGTTCGTGGCCATATTTTACAGACGACAAGCTTTGAATTTTGTTTTTTAACACGTTTTTCTTAACTCAGCTTCGCGTTTGTTTGTTTGTTTGGATGTTTGTTGTTAAAATTGACATCGAAAATTAGCCCACTTCTGATTGCTCTATAGACCTGAAATTTGGCATGCATGCTACTTTCGCCTAACAATTTCAGATGCAATCATAAAAACTAGCAATTAGTGACCGTAATTAGCTTAATTTAATTACGCCCCAAGGACCATAAAATTGAGGACATGATTTCTAAAGATACCGACAAGACTGGAGGCCTATTGACCCAGTTACTTCGGCCCCAATCGATGTGAGCGCGCTGGCCGTGATCGTATAGTGGTTAGTACTTCGCGTTGTGGCCGCGACAACCCAGGTTCGAATCCTGGTCGCTCAAGTTTTTAGTCCGTGTATTTATAAACACTTTTTTAAAAACCACGTTTTTCCTGTGTAGCAACGGACTAAAAAGGAGAAAATAAAATACTTAAAAAAACTTTTTAAAAAACCACGTTTTTCTTGTGGACTAAAAAGTAGAAAATAAAATTTTCTTTTGTGCTTCCTCGAGCTGTGCAGGTTCTTGTGATGACTGACAAAAAACGTGGGTCGGGCAGATGGGTCGGGAAATTTGATGGTGAACGTACCCACGTTTTTTGTCAGTCATCACAAGAACCTGCACAGCTCGAGGAAGCACAAAAGAAAATTTTATTTTCTACTTTTTAGTCCACAAGAAAAACGTGGTTTTTTAAAAAGTTTTTTTTAAGTATTTTATTCTCCTTAGATTTAAGTAATTTAAAATTGTATTATCTGCCCCTAATATTTTAGCCAGATCAAACGGCTCTCCTAACTAGTTATCTCCCCTTCTATTATTGAATATAGTAATCTATGCAGTGATATAATTGTGCTATCTTCCCTTAGTTTCGAAGCCGTTTAATTAATTTTTAATTGCTAATTAAACATGTATTGTCAATGAAGTGAAACGTTTCTGGAAATTTTGAACAAAACGGTGTTATTAGAAGTGGGACAAAATTGAGTTACAAGATTTCCCACAAACCAACAAACAAACAGACTTTTCGAATTAAATAAAAGCTTGTAAAAACAATGGGTCAGTACCTTTTAAACAAAGTATTAAAAGCACTAAAATGATGGAGTTCATTTTTCTTGATATGATGTCAAACCTACAAACTGGAAGTAGATGAATTATTGCAAATGTATTAAAAAATAAGAAAATAATGTACATATTTAATAAACCGGGAGTGATCTCCCCAAAACTTTCTCGAATATTCTTATATAACTTGGAATATAGACATGATTTTTAATTACTTAAACTTTTAAAAATAGAATAGAATCTTATAGAAAAATGAATTTGCGCACCAAGCGAACGCCAAAACAAAATGTGCATAATAGTGCGTAATATTATTAGTACTTTATAAATTTACATGCGTTTTTTTTTTAGAAATAGGAAATAGCGTAAATTACTCAAAATTTGACAGAAGGTAGAGATATAGATCTTTTACTTACATGTGAAATTTCATTTATCTATCCTAAATAGTACTCAAGTTATAGGCTTTTGAAAAATTCAAAGTTGAAAAAGTACCACTTCCGGTTATCAGTAATCGCTCAAAAGTTGATACGGATCTACGATTTTTATAAAATACTTATATATGAAATTTCATCAAACTAGCTGTAACGGTACTCAAGTTATCGTGTTTACACACAGACAGACAGACGCACACACACACACAAACATACGGACAAGATTGCTAAATTATGTTTTTCCGTATCAGTGCGGTGTAAAACGTCGAGATTTTTAAAAATCTCATTTTTTTTTGCACGATTACAAGACTTTATCTATTCTTCGTATATACGAGAAAGTAAAAATGAATAAACGTATCACGCTGTCAAAAGAAATATTGGTCCATGGGGAAATTATATTGAAATTCACCTGTTTATGTTATCTCGGCATAAGGCAGGAGGTTGTGGTCGGCACTACACCGAGCTTCCATAATTTCCCCTAACGTGAGTCAAGTACCCAAACTGAGTATGTTCATTGACACGGATTCGATCTCGAAACGTTCGGGTTAGTAGCTGTAAGTTCTATTTTTCGACGACGGCGACCTATAACATTTCATTTTACGTAGAATGAAAGCCTTAATGATGCTCTAGAAAGATTTTTAATGAGTAAAATAAACGGTTTTGAACTCTTCATTAGAAAGTATGAAATGCGTATGTAGAATTCTACTAAACACTTTGAGTTGACTGGACGAGAAAAGGTGAAGATTCCTATACACGGTTTGTGACGTAATGCATAATATCCTTTACAGGTTATCAAACAAAATCCATTTATCCGTTGAGAAAATATTGGATATTTTAAGTTGATTTGAAGGGCTCGGTTGAAAATGTATGTAAGTTTCATTTTTACTTTCTCGTATATACGAAGTATAGAGAAAGTCTTGTAATCGTGAAAAAAAAATCGAGATTTTTACAAATCTCGACGTTTTACACCTCACTGATACGGAAAAACATAATTTTGCAATCTTGTTTAAATGAATTAAAACCTGCATATTTTATAATTTTTCCAAATTCTCCCTTGAAAATTTAGATTAAGAGGTAAGTATTCAAGTTGTTTAATTTTATAAAAAGCTGGTGAAAAAAATAGTTATTTCAACATTTTTTTAAAAACGTTGAACTAAAAACTTAAGTAGGCCTATATTTTCCACCGAGTCGTTTAATTGTACAAGTCGATGACAAAAGGTCTAAAATTTATACACATTTTCTGTTAAAAAGTACATCGTGTGTAAAGGATTTACATTAAATTACTTAAAGACGTATCTTTTGTTATCTACCTATATGTTCGGTAATATAAGACCACAACAAAAAAACATGACCTACGTGTTGACGGAGTAAACCAGAGTGTATAACGTCACGTCTTCAAGAGGTAACGTCACGGATGACATGGGATGCATGAGTGTAAGATCTGTAGTGACTTACACATTGATGTGAAGTCTAGCCAGCCGTGTCTCTGTTGTTGTGTATGCATATACAGTCGCTTGTCTTTGTGTGTATGTAAGTGGCGTCGCTAGGTAGGGTGTCACGCGGCGCGGCACTTCGTGATATCAACCCCCCCCCCCCCCCCAAGAAACAAAGTATATGTATGTGTGTGTGTATGTGTGTGTGTGTCGGCCTACACGTACAGGCCAATAATTTAAATGTATGCCACATACTGGTGCATGTATGTGTATAAGCTTTAATCTCTGCAGACTTAAAATAATAGTAACTATGTTTATCTATAGTCTGAAAATTTTTCATTTTTTTTTTTTGCACGAGTGTCATGCCCCTAAATGGTTTCAGCCTGTCTGTTCCGCACCCCCCGCCTCTGGTGTATGTACTTGTGCGCTCGTATTGATGCAAGCAGTTGTATTTGTATTATGTTGGTGTAAACGTTTAATTATGCAGTATAATTTATTGTTCTATATTCTTGTATTTGTGAGATTGTATACTAGTATTCACGTGTATTTTTCTTTTGTTTTTTTGTGTGTATATTTGCTCAACTCGAAGTAAATCTTATTTTGTGATAGTATCAGGTTTAGTTTACATACGTGTTTTACTCACTAGTTTCTGGCTTGCGTTCAACCAGCTATGTTTTATTGTTAATCTTTTGGTAACTTAAAAATTAATTCAGCTTGAATTAAAAAAAAAAGAAACAAAAATGTTGATCTTGTTTTGTAATGATGATTGTCACATTGGCTGGGGATTAGTTCCAGAAGAATAAAGTATTACGTTTAAACATGTTATGAGCCATATGATTTGTTGATTCAAACTTCAGCCTGCTTTTGTTTCTGGATTTGCATTCATAGCCTTTATACATTTAGAAACAATCTACAAGCAGCAGTTGTTTGATTTTGGAGATGTCACACGAATTTTCTTATATGCTTTAAGCTTATCTGCCTCTTTTGTTACTGGGTCTAACTTTGGGTCAACCACATTTGTGATTACTTTATAGTGCAACGACAATTGGAAAACAGGTTAAGATTTAAATAGTTCGGCAGTGGTGTTTTTTAATTAATGTTTGTGTTAAATTAAAATAAGAACGATAAAAAAATATTGCTTTAACTCGACATAAATCATATTTAGAAAGCAATAATTCTTTTTTCGACATTTCTTTTTGAGATTTATTATTAATCTACAAACAAGGTTTTCGCTAAGACTACCTATAACTTTCAAAAGAAAACAATACAAAGTTTTGCAATTTGTAAACCATTTACACAATTTATTTTGCATTTGATCTATAATTATCTGTTGGCGAATATATATCTCTACTCCACTGTCTTACACTATCATTCAATAATCTATGTCGATGGATAATGAAAGTAGGCGCAAATATTAAATAGAAAAAAAAAATGTGTTAAAATTACTATATCCAAGATTACGACACGCTAGTATGATTTTTTTGGAACAAAATGAAACAGTATGTTTGTGAGTAGGTGTATGTAGGTGTGTGTATTTGTGTGTTACAGCATGTGTGTGATAGCATCAAATGATGGTCATGCTGCGCTTGTAAAAATGATAAAACACTTCCGCATCCAAGTTTATATTAATACAATACCGTTTCAGGCACAAAAACTGACATTCATATATGTGCAGACAACGACATTCTTGAATCTTTGCCAACTTCCTGTTTGATTTTATCGGTCCCAGTCCTGGCTAAGCAATAAGTTCTTCCCGGTCTTACAAAGAACGTTAAGTGATAAATGCATCTCTACTTAAACAATACTACTAAATTTAAATGTTAAGACATCTCTACTTTAAAAAATACTACAACGTTTAAGTGTTAAAAATATCTCTAGTTAAAAAATACTACCAAATTTAAAAATTGAAACATCTCTACTTAAAAAGTACTACAACTATTAAGTGTTATAAACATCTCTAGTTAAAAATACTACCATATTTAAGTGTTAAAAACAAATCTACTTAAAAAATACTAAAAAATGTAAGTGTTAAAAACATCTCTAGTTAAAAATACTACCAAATTTAAGTGTTACAAATATCACTAATTAACAAAATACTATAAAAAATAGTGTTAAAACATCTATAGTTAAAATACTACGAAGTATTAAGTATTAAATGCATCTCTACTTTGAAAAAAGTTCCAAAGATTGGTGTAAAGAGCATCAGTATTTTACAATGTTCTACCAATGTTTAGCGTTAAATGTAGCTCTACTTTCCACTATAACTGACAGTGATCCTAAAGACATGAAAAATTTCAGACTGGAAATTCATGTTACCAATAGAGGCAACTCAACTTTTGTTTATTATTTTGAAAGATCCCCTCCTCTATAAAATAAAATTGTCAAAATGACACCTCAAATAAAATCCAAGACTGCAAGAAACTAAAAGATCTAACGACTAGTTGGAACTACACGAAAAACAAGAAAAAAAAGTTATTACAATTTAGATCTCGATATTATAACTTCCAAAACTCAAATAAGTTATACAGTGAATATTCCCAGATATAGTCACCCCACAATTGGAGAAAGTACGTGTTGTGAATATACAGCTGTTGTCAAAAACCTACGGTCGAAACACCCATAATCTAAGAACCTAAACCCATATTTTTTTCTATTGCGACCCAACTAAGCTTTCAACAATCATTGTTTTATAATTATAAATATAACTGTAATAAAATGTTTTCGCATATTTCAAATATGAATGAATTAAGTGACTTTTTTAAAACACACACTCTTATTCAGTCACTTCAAACAATAAATCTATATATCACAGCTGACTCGAATTAGCCTACACTATTTAATACAATGATAATAATAAATTATATATCATATAAATCGATTTTTTAACTATTTTTAGGATAATATATCATAATAACAATGGCAGCTGGATGCGGAGTATGATGCTTAAATTTGTGTGTGCCATCTTGTATCCTCTACTTATCTCACTCCATTTGAATCATAAAAATATGATTGACCTTTACCCGAGTCACCTATATATAAAAAAAACTTTGAACAATTGTTACTTTTGACAACCTTGGTACATAGAGTATATATTAATATTTGTATATATTTATTACACACTTGATATAAATTTTATTTCCAAACAGCTACAGGTATATTTAAAACAAATGGTTTATCATATTTTATAATTAATCAGCCTTTGATTATCCTGAAGGTGTTGTTAGACTGCTAGTTCCGGAACTCTGCAAATAAATACGAACATAACCTTGTCAGTGCAGACTCTAAGAATTACTCCCCTTCACTGTATCTTAATATAACGACAACTCGGTTGAAGAAGAAATAAAATAACTTACTCCATAGCACACACATAAAAGCTAAGGCGATAATGATGTAACACACATCCTTCCAAATGATGTAATATTTTTTTCGGATACTTAGGTCGCCACCACTAAAAACAGTTAGAAAGAAAGGCAATAATGTTGCAATAGTCAGTGAAAATTCTATTAAAAATCAACCAACAATACAAAACATAATGCTTACATTGTGATGCAGGTCCCTGCTCCATCACACAATTTGAGAGTGGCTTGGGCTGTGATATATATATATATATATATATATATATATATATATATATATATATATATATATATATATATATATTTATATTTATAAATATTTATATATGTGTGTGTGTAAGTTGGTGTGGTTAAACTATAAAAAAATTGAAACGGTAAAGTTATTGATGGCTTAAATGGGTTGAAAACTGTTTAAAATAATGAAGCTACGTTTATTTTTGTTAGTTTAGTGTTTAAACGTAAAATCTTAGAGATATTATTACTTTAGTAAAATGGATCAGAAATTTAAATTACAACATAATTGGGATAAAACAATTCGTTTTAAAAATTTTTTTGCTGCCAGAATTACTGCCTTTATGGAAAGTACAGCAACGGATCAGAACACTGGTCACGCACCCTTATCGTGTAGAACATCCCTCCCCCAACTGGTCAATTACCACCGTCACCCATACATTACTTCAGATTACTTAGCTAGCGGTTAGCTACCATTATGGTAATTACTCGGCTTAATCAAATATTTATGTAACATATAAACTGTATCCTGCAAACCCTCGGGCCTTCTATAGACTCAGTTGAAAGAATTCGTAATAAACTGTTCTTTATTTCATTAAGCATTTTATAGAATACAACATTACCACAACCCTAAAGATAAGAGTAATTATCTAAGACTTAAAATTTGGGTAGGTGTATTAGAATGATTACTTTGAGTGTTAAGGTTTGGTTTGATTATTTATAGTCATTTGTACTGTCGTTTTTTAAGTCTATATTTAGAAAACAAAACAAGAGATAGTGCTTAATTACGTTTAAACATGGTGAATAATGTCGGCCTTTAAATAATCAGCGAAACCAACAGCATGGTGTACGCACAAATGCTATCTGGAAAGTATGGAGTTCGAATCTCGTAATCAAAGACGTCCTTGAGACTTCGAAGCCAGAATACATTTACATGTATTTATGTGTGTTTGTATTCGTATGTATGTCCCCGTCTGGGGTTGGGCATGTAGGTATATGTATATGCATAGGTATGTGCTTGTGTGTATTTGTTGTGTTGTGTGTGTGTGTGTATAGTCGAAGAATTTTCCTCACGAAGGTGAAGGTTACAGACAAACAGCACATGTAGGAGTCTCACCGTTGTTCTTGAGCTTTTGTAAGCTCCCTATGGGCGCGGCTGCCAGGATTGAGTACTCCATACTGCTGTTGCCCTGAGCCTCCTTTATCTCATGGGACAGAAGGTACACCTTGACCTCGGCGCTCTCGGAGATGTCTTCGTTTAGCTTGCTGTGATTGCGTTCTTCGATGGTCAAGAGAAACTGTAGACGAAAGTAAAACGCTCAAGTGCCATAAAGGCGGTAATATATTGTTTGTTTGTTAACCTAAAACCGTCCCACGTGCATATTTAGTAACGGCCGGTGTGGTCTGGTGGAAGAATCTCCGCATACTAACTCGAATGATAAAAGTTTGGATCCCGTGGCTGAGCTATCTGCTAACCGAAATGCCCTTCATTTATAACCCGGGTGGTGAGATGAACTGAGAGAGTGGTGAGATGAACTGAGATGAACTGAGCCAGGTGGTAAGATGATTGAGCCAGGTGGTGAGATGAACTGAGAGAGTGGTGAGATGAACTGAGAGAGTGGTGAGATGAACTGAGATGAACTGAGCCAGGTGGTAAGATGATTGAGCCAGGTGGTGAGATGAACTGAGCCAGGTGGTGAGATGAACTGAGCCAGGTGGTAAGATGATTGAGCCAGGTGGTGAGATGAACTAAGCCAGGTGGTGAGATGAACTGAGCCAGGTGGTGAGATGAACTGAGCCAGGTGGTGAGATGAACTGAGCCAGGTGGTGAGATGAACTGAGCCAGGTGGTGAGATGAACTGAGCCAGGTGGTGAGATGAACTGAAGCAGGTGGTGAGATGAACTGAAGCAGGTGGTGAGATTAACTGAGGCAGGTGGTGAGATGAACTGAAGCAGGTGGTGAGATTAACTGAGGCAGGTGGTGAGATGAACTGAGGCAGGTGGTGAGATGAACTGAGATGAACTGAGCCAGGTGGTAAGATGATTGAGCCAGGTGGTGAGATGAACTGAGAGAGTGGTGAGATGAACTGAGAGAGTGGTGAGATGAACTGAGATGAACTGAGCCAGGTGGTGAGATGAACTGAGAGAGTGGTGAGATGAACTGAGAGAGTGGTGAGATGAACTGAGAGAGTGGTGAGATGAACTGAGATGAACTGAGCCAGGTGGTGAGATGAACTGAGAGAGTGGTGAGATGAACTGAGATGAACTGAGCCAGGTGGTAAGATGATTGAGCCAGGTGGTGAGATGAACTGAGCCAGGTGGTGAGATGAACTGAGCCAGGTGGTAAGATGATTGAGCCAGGTGGTGAGATGAACTAAGCCAGGTGGTGAGATGAACTAAGCCAGGTGGTGAGATGAACTGAGCCAGGTGGTGAGATGAACTGAGCCAGGTGGTGAGATGAACTGAGCCAGGTGGTGAGATGAACTGAGCCAGGTGGTGAGATGAACTGAGCCAGGTGGTGAGATGAACTGAAGCAGGTGGTGAGATGAACTGAAGCAGGTGGTGAGATTAACTGAGGCAGGTGGTGAGATGAACTGAAGCAGGTGGTGAGATTAACTGAGGCAGGTGGTGAGATGAACTGAGGCAGGTGGTGAGATGAACTGAGGCACGTGGTGAGATGAACTGAGGCATGTGGTGAGATGAACTGAGGCAGGTGGTGAGATGAACTGAGGCAGGTGGTGAGATGAACATATGCAGGTGGTGAGATGAACTGAGGCACGTGGTGAGATGAACTGAGGCATGTGGTGAGATGAACTGAGGCAGGTGGTGAGATGAACTGAGGCAGGTGGTGAGATGAACATATGCAGGTGGTGAGATGAACTGAACCAGGTGGTGAGATTAACTGAGCCAGGTGGGATTATGAAATGAGCCAGGTTGTGAGATGAACTGAGGCAGGTGGTGAGATGAACTAAACTAGGTGGTGAGATGAACTAAACTAGGTGGTGAGATGAACTGAAGCAGGTGGTGAGATGAACTAAACTAGGTGGTGAGATGAACTGAGGTAGGTGGTGAGATGAACTGAGGCAGGTGGTGAGATGAACTGAGGCAGGTGGTGAGATGAACTGAAACAGGTGGTGAGTTGAACTGAGCCAGATGGTGGAATGAACGAAGTCAGGTAGTGAGATGAATTATACCAAGTGGTGATGAACTGAGCCAGGCGGTGAGATGAACTGAACTAGATGGTGAGATAAGCTGTGCCAGGTGGTGAGATTAACAAATAGCCGTACATCAATAACTGGACATCAAACGTACATGCTGACATCAAACTAACAGGTGGACATCAACCAAACTAACATTAAATAGTATATATCTACCAGGGCTGTTTCCGATCTTTCGTCATCAATGTATGGTACAGAGATATTTAGTCTCATCTTGCTCATATTGTCCAAAGGGTCAACAAAAAAGTGGGCTTTCCACTTGTCAAGATTATCACCTAAGGCTAATTAACAAAAGTTGATTTGATGTTAATTAAGAACAGCAGGGCTTAATGAAGAAATATAAACAAATGTGGTAAATGATATAAGTAATAATGACGGGGGTGGGGAGGAGGTGTATATGATCCGGTGAAGGCTAATAAACGGGGAGGGGGAAGTAATTAGCTGGTCGTGTAATCAAGGTGTTAATGAAGTCTGGCTCACTTCGTTTTCAGCGCACGTGCAGAAAATGGCTCATTCGGCTCACAGCAAGTGTGACTCGACAACAAAAGAGCCCATTGTATTGCTTAAGACGTTGTTACAGCGAATGTGTTGCCCCAAACCAACATTACATGTCACACAAAGTTAACTAAACAAACACGTCTTTACCTGAACTGATAAGACCTATGTTTAGAATGAGGAGCAAGTAAGAGATAGAAATGTCCATCTTGACCAAGTGACGTCAGTTTACTTGAAGCAAAACTTCAAGACCCTGCTTATACAGCTGTTGATGTAAACATAGGCGTCAACCGGAAATGTACTCGCCCAATCAGAGAGCGCAACTGTGCGAAATACAGATACCATAAAAAGTGTGCACTACAGTTTTAAAATTTATGAAATTAAACTTCGAGTTTACACTCTCGCGTGGAGAGTATAATGTATTGTAATCGTGCACAAAATATAAATGCGATTTTGACAGTCTTCGATGTTTTATATCTCGATGCTTTATAGTATACGGGAAATAAAGAATGTATTTGAATAGTGCCATAAATCTAAAACGTGATTTTGTCACAATTTGATTTTATACAACCTTCGGAGTTGGAAAATCTTAGTTTTTCAATTATGTCCGTGTGTGTGTGTGTGTGCGTGTTTGTATACATATAAACTCATCACATAACCAAACACTTCACATAACAAAATTCTTCATATCACAAAACAATTAATACATCAAAACACTTCACATAGCGAAACATGTCACATTACCAAGCTCTTCACTCCTCCTAGTAGTATAGTATTTTATATTTAAAGAAAATAATTTATTTTCTACTTTTTAGTGCAGTATTACAGAAAAGCTTGTTATTAAAACGTTTTGTATGTATTTTTTAGTTTCACATATACAGAGTAGGCCTATAGAGGAAAAATCAAAATCGAGATTTTCACAAACCTCGACGTTTAAAATCTCCCTGAGTCGGAAAAATGTATTTTGTAATTTTGTCGGTATGGCTGTGTGTATGTTTGTGAGCAAGATATCTAGAGTACCGTTACAGCCAGGTTGATGAAATTTCATATTTAGTATTATATTAAATGTGTAGTTCTGTATCAACTTTTCAGCGATTTGCGGTAAACGGAAGTGAAACTTATTCTACATTCGGTTACTCAAAAGCCCACAACTTTAACAACCGTTTCAGTTAGATAGAAAAATATCACATGTATGTACAAGATCAAATTCTTTGATTTCTGGCACATTTTGAGAAATTTCCGGTAAATGAAGGTAGTACTTAATACGATAAAAAAAACAACAACATATACATTAATATTTAACTTCATTCTTCTGTCTTTCTTTATAAAGTACTAATATCCAGCACAATTAAACAGGGTCGGCGTGGTCGAGTCGGTAAAGCTCATGGCTGCTAAACCGATAATTCTCGAGTTCGAACCCTCGGGCAGATGAGGCTCGTTAGCTGGGGACAACCACTCTTCTAGGAGAAACAACTCCAAAATCAAGCAAATCCAAAAAGAAAAGCAGGCTGAAATCCTAGTCAATGGCCTCAATGGTGCAAAACGAAGAAGAAGATACACAGTTTATTCGCTGTTCATTTAATGCGCGATTATTTTTTCAATGAGATTCTATTCGTTTTTTAAATTATTTTTTTAAAATATCTATAACCCTACTGCACTAGAATTGCAGTCCCATCAGTACTTATTTTAGCGCAATTTCCATACGGATAATTGCGATTATTAACTCGTCATTTCTGGATGGATGGATGGATGGATGTATGAATGTATGGATGGATGTGTGTCCGCAGCTTTAAGTGCTATCTCCTCCTCAACGAAGCAATATCGAGGATTAGTTTCAAAAGCAAATATGTTAAGCAAGTTCCAAGGATGATTGTGGGCCAAAAAAATTCCCGGAATTCCTTCCTGGATTTCCCGGAAAAGCTAAAAACCTCGAAAAAATGCAGTTTTTGCTCCATATCTCGGCAACCAGACCACTTAGCGACTTGAAACATTTACCAATCGATTTCTGCTATAATTTAAACCAATATTGCCGTAGAAAGTCGCTCGTGTTTTGTCCACGTGCTAATGTTTACAAACAAGAGGGCGGGTTTTAATCATAGTCAAATCTATATATAATTCTCTTCTGGGAGACGTTAGAAAACAAGCTGCAAGCGCGCGCCTTGCAGTCCCCTCTCTTCCTCTCTATCGCTACCACCCCCCACCCCACCCCCATCCCCCACCCCCCACCCCCTTCACATGGTCAGGTGAGTTGTAGTTCACGCTAAATGTTTACATAACAATCGTAGAGCAGGGTTTGGTGACGGCTATTAGGGGCAGATAATTCAGTTTGAATTTTTTTTAAACTAAGAGGAGGCTGCTTTCACAGGGGGGGGGGAGGGGGGTAGTGTTTTAAAGCAAATATTTTCAGTGGCAGCATTGGTACTGTCAAATTAACAAATTATAAATTACTGAAAAGTAGAAAAAACAACTAAATAGCGTCGTATGATACACCGTGGGTCGGTTCGTACTGATATAAACGTTTTAATATTTTTTAAACTGAGCATCTTGTAGGCCTACTGGTCCGTGGATATAGGTTATTTTTTCAATCTCGTTAATAAATATTTTTTCTATTTTGTTTTGAATTATTAAAACTACTTGTGTTGTATTATTTATTTGCTGAAAATATGATTTATCTCGATTTAAAATTGTTATGGATAACATAAGGAAATTGCGCTTAAATTGTCACTAGACTTTTTAATAACTTGTTTTTTAATACTATAGAGTTTCATGACTAATAACTATTTAGTACCAAATCAACATTAAAATTCGCGTATACTTAGTGCGGATTAAAAGTATTCAGTAAATTTTAATTAATTCATAAAACATTAATTAGGCATTTATAGTCCAATTTGGTGTGGGGGTGCATTGAAGTTCTCGATATTTTGCTCGGCAGTTATGATATACGACGGACGACAGACAGAAGAAGCAAGATAAATAATAGCTTGTAATGAAAGCGTGTAAAAAGCGCAAATTTGAACTAAGAAAAACAACTTTAAACAACTTACATACACCAAATATAAAATACTCAACAGCCAAATTATTGCATAGCATTAATTTATTTAAGAGATACTAACATAATTCGACAACATGTTTTGATTAGCATACAGCTTTAAGTACAGTGATTTAATACAAACTTTCAATGGATTTCAATTTAAGGTGTTGACACCATTATTTCTATTACTGTAGGTGAAACCGTCAAAAGAAAATTTTAAAAATTCCACGAAACATGAGTCTGATTATGTGTGTCTGTTTGGTTTCTAGAATTGTGTATTAGTGAGAAAGTGTTGGTGTTTGACTGTACTGATAATTGTAGGTATTTATAAAGGTAAATGTCGAATCTTTAATGCTCATCTCACAAGATCCAGTTGTTTCTTGAAAAACAATTTAGACAAGAAAAGATAAGAAAGCCCTGAATTAAAACAAAAATAATTTGAGAACTATGAATTACCTAAAAGTGATAATTCAAATTTAAAAAAAAACCATCAGAGGTTTCGAAAATATAGCCACCGACATAGTGACGCGAGAAAAATAATTCTCCCAAAATTGTACATTAGACAAATTGTGGAGAAACCCCATTGTGAGGAAACCACACCCTGCTGTAACCAATTCTATGTTCTAACCACTTGTGGAAAAAGCACCTCTTGACAAAGCAGTGTAGTAGACGAAACCAAATGTAGTAAAAAAAAAGGTATCTAACATTTATGCTAAACTTAATTTTATTTTTAAATTTTATATTATAAGCATATAATCCCGATAACTGCAGTTTTCTCTGATAACCAAATTATTATTTTTTTCAAAATAAATTAAAGTTACATGATTTGTTTAGTCATATTTAAAATAGAACGTATGAAAAGTTTTAGATAAAACATTTGAAAATAAACATTGTCATTTTACAGAATATTAGTGGAATACTAAAATGACTAAAACAATCATAGGGGTTTGGTGATTTCGTTAAAAAAAAATTAAATTTTTTAAAATAAATGTAACAACCTGGACAATGTTTACCACGATCAAGCTTATATTCTAACATTAAGGATACAACAGTTACACACAGAGACGTCTTCCATCTGTTGCTGTTGGTTAGCTTGCCTTCGACCACTTGCTAGTATAAGTACTGAAAATTTAAAAATGTAATTCACATTATAAGCAAAAACTCCAAACCTACATCACGACAGCCCACAAAGAAGCAATATGAATAAAAATGCAATTCACCATAATTGTAAAAACTCTAAATCTTATCTACCCCCCCCCCCCCTCCACCTCCCATATTATGATTTTACTTTCTTGTAAAAGGTGTATAGAGGAAATATAATACTTGGTCTCTGTCGCAAACTGTCTAACTCCGAAAATGTACATTTCACAGGAGAGACAAACAACTGATTATTTTATTGTTGATCGCTCTAATACAATGTTTTTAATGATATGTGCGAAAAAAATCTCTACCAACTATACTGTAGCGTTTTAAAATGAGATTTGTTAATATTTACAATATTATAGCAGGTTTAAAAGATAGTCGGTTTTGCACGGTCTAAAACTTTCGCTGCAAACTGTCTATCTGTGCACGCGCAGTCTTAGCTGCGTTCGCTCGTTTTGTCCAATGAACGTGATTTAGTTATATTTATGTTTTTAAGTTATAATTAACACGTCATACTATTTAGATTATAGTTTTGAGATCATATTTTAATTTTTTGAGGTTATTATGGGGTCAGTTTAATTTTAGTAGAGATGTTTTAGTATGGCTTTTCCACTTTCGACTGTTTATTCATTATGGCTGTATTTAGCACTAGACTTGTTAACTGTTAAAGGTTATGCTTTATTTATTACATCTTTCTATTCTCACAGTTTATTTTACAAAATCTGGTGGGTGCTGGGTTTATAGAATGATAGTATTAAATATGCCTATATAGTAAAACTATAAAACTTATTGTCAGATATATTATGAATGAGACATAACACATTAATCACATTAATAAAGAATTAATGTTTACTTATTTTACAAAATGTAACAAAATAAACCGGGAGTGATCTCCTCTAAACTTTCTCAAATATTCTTATATAACTGGGAATATAGACATGATTTTTAATTATTTAAACTTTAAAAAGTAGAATAGAATCTCGTAGAAAAAAGAATTGCGCACCAAACGAACGCCAAAAGAAAATGTGCATAATAGTGCGGAATATTATTAGTACTTTATAAATTTACATGCTTTTTTGAGAAATCGGAAATGGCGTAAATTACTACTTTTGGTCAACGGAAATTACTCAAAATTTGACAGCAGGTACAGAATTAGATCTTTTACTAACGTTTGAAATTTCATTTATTTATCTCAAATAGTATTCAAGTTATAGGCTTTTAAAAAAATTCAAAGTAGAAAATGTACCACTTCCGGTTATCGGAAATCGCTCAAAAATTGACCAGGATCTACTATTTTAATAAAATACTTATATATGAAATTTCATCAACCTAGCTTTAATGGTACTCAAGTTATCGTGTTTACAAACACACACACACACAGACACACAGACATTCTTACCAGATTGCAAAATTATGTTTTTCCGTATCAGTGAGGTGTAAAACGTTTTTTATTTTATTTGTTTACACGATTACAAGACTGTCTCTATACTTTGTATATACGAGAAAGTAAAAAAATGTGTTTATTGTTTTATTTATTCTTAAAAAAAAACGTCACACGAAGAAACATTAAAAAAACAACATATTTTTTAAATCAGGCAAATCATCACAAAAATGTGAATTTATGAATTGTTTTTAGGTGCTCATATATGACAGCTTTTGTCTTTTTTTCTGCTCTTGTACAATCTGTCAGGAGCTACAGTTGAGATCATAATCTTACGACGCTAGCCTAGCAAATACCAGCTATCTGCTTATTCAATTTGAAGTAGATAGTAGCATCATGGTTGTACTGCAGTGCACGAATATTTGTCGCATTGAATTCTTGATTTATCTGACTGGTCTTTTGAAGAGAGGCTGGTATCTATTGTCTGTTATGTGAGGCTGGTCTATTGTATTGTAAGAATGGTCTGTTTAGCGAGGGTGGTCTGTTGAGAGTTACTGGTGTCTATGAGGGTTAGAGGGTTTGTTGAGATGTTTTGGTGTCCTGTATGGTAAGATTGGTCATTTAAGATAGTTTGATCTTTTGTATGTTACGACTGGTCTATTGTGAAAGGCTGGTCTGCCGAGAGAGACTTATCTGTCGAGAGAAGCTGGTCTGTTGAGAGAGGCTGGTCTGTTGAGAGAATCTGGTCTGTTGAAGGAGGCTGGTCTGTTTAGGGAGGCTGGTCTGTTAAGTGGTAAGACGGATGTGTTGAGAGAGGCTGGTCTGTTGAGAGAGGCTGGTCTGTTGAGACAGGCGGATCTGTTGAGAGAGGCTGGTCTGTTGAGAGAGGCTGGCCTGTTGAGAGAATCGGATGTGTTGAGATAGGCTTGTCTGTTGAAAGATTAATCATAAAAGCATTTACTAAAGACAACTAACCATGTACATGTACGCCAAACATTTTGTAACCTACCATATAAAACATTTCTTAACACTTAGATAAACCCCCAATCTAAAGCTAGTAGTGAATTAAAAATAATTAAATTTATTGCACAATCTTGTGGAAATAAAATTCGAATAATAGTGTTTTGATTGATATTTAGATTCTAGAATGAAGTTCTAGTTTCAAAGCATTGTGTTAGCCTAAAAAACTGTAAACAAATAAGCTTGGTTATTGAAAATCTGGAAATAGGCTATATTAAACAAATACTATTTGTTTATTATTCTTTAAAATGGTAAAATCTAATAGAGTAGCTGAACATAATAAATCAAATATCCTTACCTATAAGTACTGTGGCTGCCGTGGTGTAAAATTGTGTGATTGCGGCGTGCGACTGACAAATACAGCGATATTCGTTTTGCGCCGAGATTTTTAGCGCTTGAAATAATAGGCGGTTTGTTCAAATGATTATATCTCGATAATCATTCTACAGATTTCAATAATAGTTCATTTTTAAGTAATAATTTTTTGGTCAATTATGCACACAATGTTTATGTTCATTTGGTGCGCAAATTTTTTTTTCTACTTGATTCTATTATATTTATATCAAATTTGTAGTTATGTGTCAAAGTTACACGGTTTCCAGTAGGTCAATGCTATATGACAATACACCGTGACCTAAAATGTGATTAAATTTTATGTTTAATTAATTTTTAAAATAAATTAATAATGCATACTAATTTTTTGGTCAATTATGCGCACAATTTTTATGTTCATTTGGTGCGCAATTTTTTTTTTTCTACTTGATTCTGTTATATTTAAAAACGTAATTAAAAAATACATATTAAAAACATTTGTTCCATTCCGATGTTCTAAAAGTGCCCCCCCCCCCCTTACTATAATATATGAATAGAGAAAGTTTATGTTAGATTACGCAACCTTTATTAATATATTGAGTGGAATTAGGAATAAAATAACTTACTTATCACAGCACCGAGGAGGTTCACAACAACTAGCGCACCGATAATAACAAGATAATGAATCGTTGTGTCATCGGGATGTCTGATCGTTGCATTTTCATTCCTAAAAAGTGTAAGGGAAAATATTTAGTAACAGTTAAGTGGACGTTCTTACACACAAAAAAAAACCCAGAAAATATGACTGCGTTGAAATAAAACAATACGTACAAATGAATACAGTTTCCTTTTCTGTCACATTGTTTTAAAGTGAAGGCTCGAGCTGGGGAGAAATAGATGCCGGTATAAATTTATAGATATGTAAAGTAAAACTTAGTGTGAGTAACAGCTAGGCTTTGGGTCTAAACGGGGTAGACGTTTTCGCAAACAACACCAATGCAATTTTAACTGAATTTTTTTTTTTCATTTGAAAATTAGAAACAATAGCCATGTATAAGATGTCACACCTGTAAGGTTTAGATCAGGAATAGGGTTACAAAATTGTTGGGATTACATTGGAAGAGAGGGCCGGCTAGAAAGTAAAAGTGCTAATGACTGATCATGGTTTAAATTCTAATAGTAAGAAGTGTGTATGCGTATGCGATACCTATATATAGTCTATGTATAATATACATATTATGTATATTTATATATGCATAACATAAGTGTAATATATGTATTACACACACACACACACACATATATATATATATATATATATATATATATATATATATATATATATATATATGTGTGTGTGTGTGTGTGTGTGCGTGCGTGTGTGTGTGTGTGTATCTTCTTTTCTGTCATAATTATGGCAATGAAACAAATTTGTAAAAAGTTATTAATATTTAGCCATGTATTACATGTAAAATGATTAAGCTCAACTGTGCGGTTTGCGTGCAATTCAAAAATATCTTAAAGACTTCAGTTAATGAAACATTGAGTTAACATTTTATCAAAAAACGGAACTACAAGTTAAAAAGAATTGGACAGGGATAGGTCGGGTGTTAAAAATGTCTCTTTTGATGGCGACCACATCTCTCACCGTCTTTCTGACCGATGCGGAACTTCTCGAAATTTCCGGCCAGAGTAACTGCTGTTTCGTTATAACGACGGTGGATGTTGCCGTTAGGTTCATAGATAGTCTGAAACAGGATGTAGACCCTCATCTCATCGGTGTCAGAGGCCAAGACCAGGTTCAGCTCGCTATCGTTTGTTTCGGTGATGGTCACATTTAACTAAAGACGGAAATAAAATGACAGGTTTTAACGGTTTATAAAGACACGAGTAAATGATCTTTGTTTTCTACCATATTTAAACACAACAAGCGTAAAGGGAGACAGGGTGTAATGTTATAAGGGTTATGATTAGGTTTAATCTGAAGACGACAAACAGAATTGAACCTCAAGACCAGAGGCGTAGCGAGGGGGGGGGGGGGTACGAACGCATCGGGTGACACCATTTAGGGGGGGGGGGGGGGGTGACACCAAGGCAAAAAATAGCAAAATATATAGAGAAATATTTGAGGGGGATGCAAATCGAATGTTTGAGGGGGGGGGGTGCAAATCGAAAACTTGAGGGGGTGGGGTGCAAATCAAAAACTTGAGGGGGGTGCAAATCGAAAGTTTGAGGGGGGGGGGGGTGCAAATCGAAAACTTGAGGGGGTGGGGTGCAAATTGAAAGTTTGAGGGGGGGGGGTGTTGCAAATCGAATATATGTCCCCGGGAAAGGTCGCTATGCCTCTGGGGGGGAGGTGACACCATTAAGTGCAGCTCCGGGTGACACACGACCTCGCTACGCCACTGGTCAAGACTATAGCCAAGATTACGGCCAAATTAAAAATAAGACGAAGTAGGTTCAATGTGACTTGTGGTCAGTCTTGGAAGTACAATAAAATACAATAAAATGGTGGTATCTATTGTTTCTCGGGATTAAAAAAAAATGTAATTGAATCAAAGCTTTAATCGAAAATCTATTAGAAAGAAGAATTAAAATGTTCCAAGAACGTTTAAGAAAAAATTAAATAAATTATATTGTAGATGTGTTGCGCTAATATTTTTGTATGAGATATTTTTCCTAGAAAATGTATCCATGATACTATATCTTGTGCTCAAATATTTTGTCTTAAGAAAGATTTGTCTTTGAGATATTTTGTCCGTTTGGAAAAGTTTTGTGATTATTATTTATTGAAAAATCCAAATGAATGGATTACCGACACGTTTTGTGAAATTAGTCAAGAGTATGTTATCGACGATCTGTGCTAACGTAATTGATATGCTTGTTGCTAGGCAATTTAGGTCTGATAAAGAGCTTACTTGCACGTTGTAGTAGCTATCTCCAATCAACTCGAGGATAGTGAAATTGAAGCAGATGCTGATCACCTTACCCAAGTGGTCGACCTGATACGTGTAGCCGAGGTCCGGATTGATGCTGTCATTGTTTGTGCTGCCTGTGGAACAAAGAAGGTGCTGGCAAGCAGGGAACAGTTGGGCTAATGGGGAACAAACATGGTACTTTTTAGTTGGGAATAGTTGGGCTAATGGAGAACAAATATGGTACTTTTTAGTTGGGAACAGTTGAACCAATGGAGAACAAACATGGTTCTTTTTAGTTGGGAACAGTTTGGGCTAATGACGAACAAATCTGGTGTTGATAAGTAGGGAACAGTTGGGCTGTTGTTGGTTAAGGGAACACATTTAGGGATTAGAGAGGGGTGAGGGGTATGATCAGGTAGTAATTGTCTGTAGACTAGCATCCTCCTCCACTCAAGTCGTAGACTTTAAACAATAGATCTTGCAACTAGGTTCGGTCTAATCAACAGCCATGACACCTATAGGCTAAAGATAAACCTACATCTATCAGCTAGAGCTACACTCAGATCACAGCCTAAAACTAGAGACCTTACATCTATAAACATTTTCTTGTCTACATAACGACATAACGAACCCTAACGACTATAAGCAAGTTACAGACAGCTAAGCCACTTACTGTCCACAGCTTTTAATTAAACCTCACGCCTACACTGTTCACGTATTACTCTCACTAATTAAAAGTTTCTTCCAGGCCTCTCTTCGGAAAGGGAGTTCCCTCTCCTCTCGAAAAAAAGTTTATAGACCCCCCCCCCCCTCCCGAACGAAATGGAATTTATATAGAAAATGTATACTTTTAACAGTGTCAGCCCCCTCGGAAATTTTAGTCCTCCCCCCCCCCCCTCACCTCGGAGAAAGAAGTCTGGAAGACATCCTGCACATATTTGCTTTACACAGATTCAGAAAAGCATATACAGCGGGGTACATCCGTTTAGTCAAATAAAAAAAAATAACCTTTGTATATATTTCAATAAAACGTTTCAGTGAAATAATTTATTTAATCACTTTAAGGACGTTTTTCGTATTTTAAGACCTACCTAATCTTTTTCATAAAAAAATTGGCTGAGTTGATGCTATATAATTCTGCATGTCATTGTGTTTTAAAACATCAACTACACTGGCATCTAGTTATTTATGTTTGTATTGGATTTGTGTTAGTCATAAATGCTTTTTTTGTATGAATAAATACATTTAAAAAAATTTAAGATGCAATATTCGGTTATTTTACATCATTTTTATGGATGACTTAATTATCTTTCTGTATCTTTTCCAACGTTTAGTTTTACGTTTTATTCTTACTTTGCCTTATTTTTATTCTTCCCTGTTAGTTTTATTTGACGCTGGAGTGTTCTTGTTACTATTTTGTACACACGAAATTTTTTAAACTAATTTACAATAGGGCTGGTAAGTAGGTCACCAACCAGTTCTATGGCTCATACAGGTTTTATTGAGCCGTAGAAGTGGTTGGTGACCTACTTGCCAGCCCTATTACTCATCAAAACGCACTATCAGCGCTAATTCTAGTAGCCTTTCCATTACCCATGTTATTAAAACACATGGTCATTGCGTTCACTGGCTGACTTACCATGAGTAATGTTGTTGCAGATCAGGGTACCATCACGTTCAAGAGTCAAGCAGGTGCTGACGTTGTTGGTGGAGTCTGCGTGGCTCCGATTCAGGCTCGACTTGTTTTCAGTGACGTCATGCGGGATACTGCCCAAACCTATTGCATCAACATCACAGCCTGTAAACAGTTGATCAACAAACACTTTATTGATGTTTACTTTTATTTTTTTACTTGTACCCGATCATAAAAGGTTAAAAAGTAATCGTACAATATTTTTACAATGTGAAAAAAGACAAATTAATCTTCAATATATAAAGGCTTAATCAATGGGGTCATCCGTGAACGATGTCACGCTTTATTTGACGAATATTACCCCCCCCCCCCCCTTTCCCGTCACCTACGTCACACATCGTCATAAAAAGCCAGACCCCTCCTAAAATGACGTCACATCTCAGCCTACAACCCCCCTCAAAATTGCAGTTGAATTTTTCTTAAAACATCGATATTATTTCCAAAAATCTTGTCTGAACCATGTCGACATAGATTACTCTGATCATGTAGGCCTACTATTACAATTTATTAAAGTTAAGTTTTCTAATACGTGAAATAACCCTTAAAATTGTGATTTCTAATATTGCATTTTCTTTAATGCAAAAGTGTGACGTCACACCATCTGAGCCTCCTCCCCCCTTCCCTTTATCACACACCGTCACAAATTACGGTTAGGTAACAGTTTAGAATTATCTTACCTAGCATGGAGTTCAACAAGTACAATGTAAACAGTACTTTCCAGAAACAGTGGAAATCCATATCTCCGTGTATATATTTTTCTAAATCTATTTGCAAAAAAAAAATATTAGTACATCAGTATGATTTAATGATAATGCTTTTTAATTTATTTTCTTTATCTGCGTTCTTAATTTTAGTGTTGGAAGGGATCCCATCCAATACGATTAATTGTACGTGTCAACTGTTATGCGCCATTGAGGCCATGGACTCCAATTTCAGCTTGCATTTCTTTTTTTTAATTTGCTTCCATAGCCTATTTGTCCAACCAAGAACAAACTATAAGGCAGAAGTTATTTAGAAGAGTGGCTGTCCCCAGCTAACAAGCCTATCTGCCCTAGCCAATGTAATAAATACTGTATAATTTAACCCTGCTTTCATACCTCAGGGGTAGTCTTGATCGCTACGGCACTTTCCACCTGTCTAGATATCTTAGTGTAATGAGCTCAAAGTTGACCTACGTGTATAAGAACTCTATCGTAACCATACTGCCCCACATAGGTGTTACATTAAGCAAGGATATGCCTATCCAGCCATATTTGTTTTTAAGATATTTGGTCAAACGACGTAAACAATATGCTTTGTTTTCTAGAGATGTTTACTGGTGCAGTGATGTAAAAAAAGAGATATTACCCTAAAAGGTGCGTAAAAGAGTTTTAATCGTTATTGTCATTTAATTTATCGTCTAGATAACCAACTCTGCTATTCCAATAGAATTATCATACTTCTTCATATAAACAAATCACGCTGCTCAAAAATTTTAAAAACTTGATGACACTAATATCTGACATCAAATTTGACTTAACTGGTTGAATAATTTATTGCCTATGAATTTATTGAAATTTACTATATTAAGTACTAGTAACGCGCTATTATACGCACAATTTTTATGTTCATTTGATGCGCAATAATTTTTAGTCATGCAACTCTATAAAAGCTAGTACCAAATGATTGTTGCCAAAAAGCATATTCTAACCAAAATTAAATATTTTTACAAGCTTTCATTTATCTTGCCTTCTCTGTCGTCAGTCTGTCGTTAGTCTGTCTAGATCGAAATGCCCGAGCGAAATAACTTGCAGTTCTAACCGACCGATTCGGTTCAAAGTCGGCACGTGGGTCAAGACATGAAGACAATGTAATCTGACAATACATGTGGCTTAATTGGATGCCTAATAACAAATTTATGAATTAATTAAACTTTTGACCAATTTAGATGGCAGTCTTACCCAACTATTTAGCACGTTATTTAGCGTTATCACGTTCATTTGTTTTGAGTCATGCAGCTTTATTGTAAATAAAAATGTAAAATATTGGGAAAAAAAATTCAATTAATAACAAGCCTTTATGTAATAATGCACCAAAAAGGAGAAAATAAATTATACACTACCATTTAAATGACTATAAAAGATAACATGAGTCTCTTCCAAAATACTAGTAAATGTGTCAAATAGATAATAAAGTGACCCACGCTTTTCTTGATAGTTATTGTAATGGTAGCATATAAACGCTGTCACGATCCCCCCCCCCCCAATCCCCTATCCATCGTTACAAAAAGCTAAACCTTCTCCACAAAAACGTAAACCTCAGCTAACTTCCCCCCTCCTCCTTAAGTGCTATTTTATTTTAAATGCAATTTATTTGAAAAATGTAAGCCTACTGAGCTCTTTCAACATTTAATGTAAGCTAATTTATCAATTATTGTATAACAATTTATAAAACAACATTTAATGTAAGCTAATGTATCAGCTATTGTATAACAATTTATAAAACAGCTTTTAATGTAAGCTAATTTATCAACTATTGTATAACAATTTATAAAACAATTTTTAATAACTCAAACAAAGGCGTCAGGTAAGTTTTGAAACTTGACTGTTTGAAAATGCAAAAATGTGTCTCTTACCTTCTGAACCCCCTTGCTTTTGTCCCAAAAGTTAGAATCTCCCCCACCCCCTCAGATTTCGATGTCTTGTATGGACGATCGCTAAAGCATTTTGCTCTTGTTTATCAGATAGTCATTAGACATACAACCCCAATTACATCATTTGTTTTGATTGTACCTCTGTTATTAAAATGTTGCTGTTTTATTTGAAATTTGTATTAGTTATTTCCTTCTATTAATAAAATGAGTTTCAAATCAGCATGCTGTTTTGGACTAGAAATAATATTAACGAATGATATATAAGTTATGTATATAAACTCAACCAAATAATATGCAAATGGAAGAATTTTAGTAGGAATACATAGTTGTGAACACAGTTGCCAAAGCAAAAGTTCTTGAGTTTAAATGTAAATCTTTATCATGTAAGTTGTCTCTGATTTAACACAAATCTAACTAGCAATTGACTTTGGCCATGGAGAGTATTAGCTGTTTGGCATTGTGCTGACCATAAAACTTATTTATATGGAGAGGTAGAAACAACAAAGTAAAATCGAAATCTACTTTAGCATCAAATTTGAAAAAAAAATTGTTTTACTTCACTAGTAAAAGTAAACACCTTCTCTCCCTCAACGGGTCATTTATCTAGTAGATTTTAATGTTTGCGGAAAAGCGTTGTATAGTGACTGTACAATAAAGATAATCGTACCACAGCTACACACCGCGGGGTCTGGCGGCACTGAAGTTCTGCCCTAGACAAAACCATATATGGGAAAGACACTTATGGTGAAATCACCTAAAATTTATATTTCCGAAGTTATCGCAACTCACAATTTTGAGAACATGTTTTTTACTTTCTCGTATATAGAGTATAGAGTAAGTATTGTAATCGTGCACAAAAATCACATGAAATGTTGACAGTTTTCACTGTATTACACCTTAGTGCTTCGTCATGTAAGGAGTATAATAAATAAGTAAACTAAAGTTCCACTTCAAACCTACGTGACAAGCAGAGTTTACCTGTTTCTGTGATCTCGGCATATGAAGGGATAGTGTGGTCTGCACTATGTCCAGCCGCCTTCACTTTCCCTAACGTGAGTTAGGTACCCATCGAGTTGGGTGGGCTCAGGGACGGTCCACTGACTTGAACCAGGATTCGAACTCGAGACTTACAGTTTAGCAGTCCAACTCTCTACTGCTAAACCACTCAGCCCAGCATATATAGTAAGGAGACTTTTTTAATCGGGCAAAAATTATAAATGCAGATTTATCTAAATTTCGGCGTTTTATGCGTAATCGAGTCTTGTGTGTATGTCTGTGAACACGATAACGGCAGTACCGTTATCGCTAGGTTGATGAAATTTCATATATAAGTATTATATCAAGTTTGTCCTTCAGTATCAACTTTTCAGCTTTTTCCGGAATTTATTCTACTTTTCGTCTTTCATAAGTCTATAATTTGAGTACTGTTTCATATAGATAAACGAAATTTTATATATAAGTAAAAGATCTAAATCTCTGCATGCTGTGAAATTTAGAGTAATTTCCGTTGAAACATACTGTTGGTTGTTCACTTAGTGCGCAATTGTTTTTTCTACGAGATTCTATTCTATTTTAAAAAGTTTAATTAAGTAATTAAAAAAAAATTAACAATCATGTCTATATCCCGATTTGCCATCCCCCGTAGTGTTATATAAGAATATTCGAGAAAGTTTAGGGTAGATCACTCCCGCTTTATTTCTGAATACTATGACCACAGAACTATAAATGAAATTAATAAGGCATTTTAAAATAGTGGTGTAACAATACGAATTAAAACTTGCTAAAGATCTATTCTACTTCAAATCCAGATACATTTGTTAACTTTGTATCACACATTAACTCTGCCAAACGAAACATGTCGAATGAAATATAAAGAATAACTTAAAGACCTATAAATTATACAATCTTTGTTTTACAAATTAGTACTAAATGTTATACAAATTTATTACTTAAAACAATGTATCTAAACTCTTATACATCATTTAAAATCATACTGTGAAAAGCATACCGTTATAAGCCTCCAAATTTCAAACCGTTTGTTAATATTCTCATATTTTCGTTAACGTGAGCTTTAAATCAAATTATATACATTTAATTCCGACAGCTACAGATGGCGTTTTTTAATATACAGGACCAGATGAAAAATTTACAAGTGAAATTAAAATAGGCGTTTGCTCATATATTAGAATAGAATGTAGTCAAATAATTAAAAATTAAAATGTACATTTTTCAGAAGCCGGAATAAAACAGCGTTATTGCTGGAATATGAAAGCAACGTTATTAACGGAATATAAAAGTAACCATAACAAACAATTCCGAAGCAATAAGAGTATGGGTTCGTTTACATTTAGTCGAGATAACTATTTTTAGAGGATGGAAGACGGATACCACAATACAGTTGCGGTTCTAAGAACACAGACTGGCGGATGTGGCGGCTGTATCTCTTCTTTAACCAGCAGGCGCGGCGGACGCCAGACGTGCGAGTCTACGTCGATGTCGGTTAGCACGTGACTGATTCCGCCTTCGCCAAAGCTCTGAAAATAAAATTGCAATTCACTATATCTTTGAAAACTTTGGTTTACCCTCACCTACCAAGCCAAATCACTTATTTTTTCTCCTACCTAATGTTTATAAACAGTGGAATGTGTGAAACAGGATAGGGAGGGGGTACTTAATTGTAATATTATTAATGTGTTAAGATAAAGAGCGAATGTTCCTTTTTGTTCCCTGTGTCATGCAGTGGCGTAGCGAGGGGCGGTGCGGATTTTAGGGGGGGGGGTGGGTGACACCGAGGCAAAAAATAGCAAAAGATATAGAGAAAAATGATAATAGTCTTTTAAGAGCAAATTTGACAAATCCTGACAAGAGTGGAGAGGGGCTGCAAATCGAAAGTTTGAGGGGGGGGGGGGTGGAGTGGAAATCGAAAGTTTGAGTGGGTGGTGGAAATCGAAAGTTTTATTGGGGGGGGGGGGGAGGTGCAAATCGAAAATTGAAAGATTGATCCAGAGAGCGCGCCAAATTAAAAGTTTGTCCACGGGCGCCGGGAAGTTTCGCTACGCCTCTGGGGGGTGACACCATTAAGTGCCACACCGGATAACACCCGACCTCGATAAGCCACTGGTGTCATGGCGACAGCCTGAATTTGTTTAACCTTTGTTTACTGCTGGCTTGGGTATGCTTTGTTTATATGTTTTTCGTTAATTTTTTTAGGCTTGTATTATTGGATGTTCTTAAAACTGTTTTAATATATATATATAATATGGTAGTACTGTATTGCTTGTTAGTGATGTGTGTTTGTGGTTTATTTCCAACGCGGAAAAAGTGGTGCATGTATGTATTTCGGTTTAGAGACAGATTTTTATGTTTTGATTTGTTTATGAGCATGGCAAGTGGCACATAAAGGGGACTTACTGATGGAAAGTCTGATGAACTCTCTGAGGGAAAGTCGTGGCCTGTGAATTGTGTTAGTTACCGAATTGTTTCTTATGGTCCTGGTAACATTGATCTGTTATTTTTTTTAAATAGTGTATCTAATTGTATGTACAGGCGCTACTGATTATATTTGTTCTTCGTATGATATTTTGCTTATTTACAGAGTATTGGTAATATATTATGTGTTCATGTAATTTTGGCCAACCAGAAATTTGTTGATGGCTGTTCGGTATTTCTGACACTATGGTACACAATGCTTGGAACTTAAATGATTATGCTAGAGGCAATGTCAAAGTTGTTAAACGTTCAACACAGTGACACAGTGTTGATATCTGGTTGGTTTATATTAACGTAAGTATTAATTTTAATGATATTCACACACACACACACACACATATATATATATATATATATATATATATATATATATATATATATATATATATATATATATATATATATATTTCAGTTTGTGTACTGTTAGTTTTTTCAGAATTTAATAGTATTAATTTTAATTATTTTTCGATTCATTGTTAATAAAGTTTAAGATTAGTATTTCATTGACCTATATTTTTGCTTTTATTTTAGGCTAAAGTTAAGTGTTAACCAGTCTGGGATTAGCCAGACTTGCACTGACGCCTCAATATTTTAATTACTGTCATCAGGAATTAACTTAGTAACAAAATTACTTACTCAACCAATAAATCGCAGCTATGAAGATAACTATACAGGCATCAGCAATAAGTACCTCAGTTAGACCTATCTGAATACTTATTATCCAGATACTGACCGTATCATTTCCATTTCTAAAAAAAGAGAAATGAGGAATAGAATTTAGTAAAGTCAGTACACATTTTGAGATATAAAAAATAAGAAAATTGCGTTAAATTAAAAATATACGTACAAGTTAAAGCAATTTCCCGATCTATCACATTGTTTTAAAGTGAAAACTTGGGCTGTAAAAGGGGTATATATATATATATATATATATATATATATATATATATATATATATATATATATATATATATATATATACATTCAAATTGGTATAGGTAAAAGTAAAGCTTTGAAGCTTTGGGATAGAATTGTTTTACTAAACACTAGCAAGTTTTTGCAATAAGAGCTTTTGAAACAGCTTATTACTTTCTCGTATACATAGTAAGAGTGTAAAAAGACATCGAGATGGACGTTTTACACCTCCCTGAGACGGAAAAGCATAGTTTTGCAATATTGTCCGTATGTCTGTGTGTGTGTGAATGTGTGTATGTGTGTCTGTGAACACGATAACTTGAGTACCGTTACATCTAGATTGATGAAATTTCATCTACAAGTATTATATCAAATTTGTAGTTATTTATCAACATTTTAGCGATTTCCGATAAACGGACGTGGAACTTATTATACTTTCAATTTTCAAAAGCCTATAACTTGAGTAATGTTTCACATGGATGAATGAAATTTCACTTGCAACTAAAAGATCTAATTCTCCGTCTTTTGTCAAATTTTGAGTAACTTCCGTTGACCGGAAGTAGTAATTTCTGCTATTTCCAATTTCTCAAAAAAAAAAGCATGTGAATTTATAAATTACTTATAATATTCCGCACTATTATACACATATTTTTTTGGCGTTCACTTGGAGAGCAATTCTTTTTTTCTACGAGATTCGATTCTATTATAAAAAGTTTAAGTAATTTAAAATGGATTAAAAATCATGTCTATATCGAGAGTTGCCATCCCCCATAGTGATATATAAGAATATTCGAACAAGTTTAGGAGAGATCACTCCTGGTTTATTTTTATGTCGCATTTTAAAATAAAAACAGTAGATACATATGAAAGGATTAGGTGAGTATTCGTATAAACAATGTTCTGAGGAGTATATCTGAGAAAATGTTAGAAAATGATAGCAAAAAGTGAAAGCAATAGGTTAACTGACTATGTCGGAGGTCTTAGTGTGAGTAATGCTATTAGAGATCCGATGTATGTCTCTGCGACTGATGTTTGGCGAATGGGGCTAAGTAGTATGTCAAATGTGTAGATTTAAGCTTAAGATTTGGACATGTTGTGTGATATACGTGAAAGGAATATATAAAAAGTGGGCCTAGATGTAATATTTAGGTGTTAAGTCTACGATCAGATCAGTATTTAAGCTTAATTTATTGCACGATGGATTATGGAAGTAACGGGATTGTGCGACTATGTACTTGATGCATGCTTAAGATTTTTATTTTAATTATAAAAAGTATAAATGTCTTGGGCGGGTGGGTGGATGTATGTTGTAATGGATATATGGATGGATGAATGGATGGATTGACGGATTGATTTTATAATTGAAAAATAAGCAATTCATTTTCCTAAAAGGAATGTAACAATAATAACCTGGATTAAGTCTCTTACCATCCTTCTGCCCAATGCGAAACTTTTGGAAATTACCGGCGCGTGTAACTGCAGATATGTTTTGAATCCTAGTGTTGACGTTGCCATAGGTAAAAGAAAACCTAGACAGGTACACTCTCATCTCATTTATGTCTGTGGCCACGTTCCTATCCAGCTCGAGGTCGGTGGTTTCTGTTATGTTCACGATTAACTAAAAGCGAAACCAAAAGGGTAGATGCTAACGACTTATACATTGAGATGTAAATCATCTTTGTTCTAAAATTAAAACAAGAGAGTGTGTGTGAGAGAGAGAGAGAGAGTAAAGGGTATATTATCGAATGTGTTTCTGCTAGTGATGTTAGAAGAGTTGTGATTTGCTTTAATTTGAAGACAAAGAACATGATTAAATAAAATGATTTGCCCAGGACTAGGTTTATAGAAAGGACAAGCCATTTACCTGAGAGCATGCTATAAATTAGCTAGATATAAAGACGGTAAGTGCCCTAAAATCCGTTTTGAAATCACCCTCTGTTTTTCCCATAAAATACAAAGATTATATAGTGAAATACGACTGGTCAGTTTTGACCCATTTAACGAATTTTCCCGGACAAGGCGAGTTTTTTATGACACCCCAAGGCGTTCTCCTACCACCTCACAAAATTTCAAGTCGGTCGTCGTCGAAAAACAATTTTCGTAATAGAGCTCATATAAAGAGAATTTCACTCGCGGTCACTATTTAGCCCTCGTCGAGGGCTTTGAGTGAAACCGACAGTTTTCCCTAAAGGTTTAGAAAGGTTCGTTTAATGCGCACATGCAACTTGTATGTTTCGGTACCTCTAAAAAGCTTAAGAACCACTGGTTTATAAGTGTATCCTAATAAAAGCCCATGTGCACACTTCTCTCTGTCCGCAATATTTTTGGCAACGTCTTCAGCATGTTCAGCGATTTATTGAAAAATTAAAGTTACGGACTTTAATTTAAAATATTATGGTGGACGGTATAAATGTATAAAATAATTTTCTTTAAAGAAGGAAAATTTTAAAAAAGCATATTCGAATGTAGAAACAGATTTCTAACTAAAGCGTTTATTGTCGTGACAAGAACGCAGTAAACGATAACGTCACAAGTAATATGTGTACACAAAAGAAATTAACACAAAACCAATGGCGTCATCTTCCAATTTTAGAATAATATAAAGAAATGAACGATTTCATTCAAATTTGATTTAGATCTATGTACGCTATGAAATGTATACAATCCTTAATTATTTTATATAAATCTTTGTTGGCTTAACTATGCAATTGGCTAATTTGGGATACAATTCAATTTGAAATAATAGGGCCTATTCGCGTAACTTGAGTTTCTAAAGCGGACTCTCCAAACAAACTACACCACTAATTTTATATCTAATTGGAACTTCCCAGATAGCTGAGTTGATAGTGTAATAATTACCATACGGGCGGTACGAATTAGAGACACAGCATGTAAAAGTTATTTTTTTTTTTGTAGCTGTGAATGATAAAGTTGCATATCGGAACTTGGCGAGACACAAGGCGGGTGAAGTAGATTTCACCCGTATCTGTCTTCTCAGCATATGAAGGGATAGTGTGGTCAGACCCATGCTCAGCCGAAATAGGTGTTTTTAAAAGGCAAAAGCAACATAACTACCATTAAACAGTCGGGATTCAAAATCATTTAAGTCTCTTATTTTAAGCTTCTTAATCAGCGTGTACATTTAATATGGTGTTGACTAATAATGTATATTATTTCGTTTTAATTTTTTTTTATTAATAGGTATTAGTAGTCTATGCTATTTTAAACAAATATAAACATAGATCATACATAAAACGAGGCTTCTTCATTTCGTTTTTTATCATAATCTTAACAATGTTTCATTTCAATGCTCCTGATGAATACATTTTTTTAATTTTCCGATAATGACTTTTTAAAAAAAAACTGAATTCCAATTAATTTTATTACTCACCGTAGATATATACAGTTTCTTCAGGCATCTCTACCGTTTCTTCCCCTTTCATAAAAAAAACAAGAAAAACAGTATCCGCTACCACCAATCCCCCACCCTACACGCATACACACGCTCCCCCGGAGAGTTTTAAATGCCCTATCCGGAGATAAATATCTAAAAGAAAAACCGGGTAGCCTATATGTAAAGAGAAAAGAGCAAACAGTCACCAGAATTGCCCGGGTACCGATAGCTAGTCTATAATAAGCGGTCAATTAGTGTGTCAGTCAGTCAGTCAGTCCGTGCTTCATCGCTATAGATTGTGTAACCATAAAAGTTAACATCAAACCTTGCAGTGCTTATATATATATATATATATATATATATATATATATATATATATATATATATATATATATATATATATATATATATATATATATATATATATATATATATATATATATATATATATATAAAGGGATAATGTTTTTTAGAAACTATTGATTTTTGCTGATCTAAAATAGATTATACTTTGTTACCAACAATAAAAGATTTAAGAAAAAGAAATAGAACTAGTCACTCGTCGACTTCGCTGAATTCAGCTGTAAAGTCTGGACAGGCCGATAAACTGAAATTCATAAGTTGTGTGAGTAAATAATTAAACAGCTACCTACCCGGTCGTAGTTCCTGCTTTCTCCGTGGTTAGTGAAATTGAAGCAGATGCTGATCACCTTACCCAAGTGGTCGACCTGATATGTGTAGTCGAGGTCCGGCTTGATGGTGTCATTGTTGTCGCTGCCTGGGGAACAAAGAAGGTGCTGGCAAGTAGGGAACAGTTGGGCTAATATGGAACACATCTGGTGCTAGTTAGTAGGGAACAGTTGGGCTAATAAGGAACACATCTGGTGCTGTTTAGTAGGGAACAGTTGGGCTAATAGGCACATATGGTGCTGTTTAGTATCGAACAGTTGTGCTAATAGGGAACACATCTGGTGCTTTTTAGTTGGGAACAGTTGGGCTAATATGGAACACATCTGGTGCTAGTTAGTAGGGAACAGTTGGGCTAATAAGGAACACATCTGGTGCTGTTTAGTAGGGAACAGTTGGGCTAATAGGCACATATGGTGCTGTTTAGTATCGAACAGTTGTGCTAATAGGGAACACATCTGGTGCTTTTTAGTTGGGAACAGTTGGGCTAATAGGGAACACATCTGGTGCTTTTTAGTTGGGAACAGTTGGGTTAGCAACTGTTGGGAGTAAAGAGAAGGGTTATGACCAGGTTGTAATTGGCTGTGGAGTAACATCCTCCTCCACTCACGTCGTAGACTTTAAACCTAGATCTTGCAACTAGGTTCAGTCTAAGCAAAGGCCATACACGAAGATCACACTTATAGGCTTCAGATGCCCCGACATCTATCAGCTAGACCCACACGCTGATCACAGGTTAAAACTAGACAATATATGTATAACCATTTCTTGTCTCTACCATATGTAAACATGGGACGGATGGTGGAGCGCCATACTGCTAACGTTATAGTTTCGATTTCGAATCCGGGTTCAAGTTAGTGGAACGTACCTGAGTCCACCCAACTCAGATCGGTACATAACCCACGTTAGGGAAAGTAATGGTGTCCGGGCATAGTGCTGACCACATTAGCGCTTTATATGCCGAGGTCAAGAAACATATGAACTCCACATCATCTGCCCAATGGATCGTTAGGTCTAAAGATGAATCTGTAATTTTTACTTTTTACCATATGTAAACCAAACAGACATAAGCCAATATCACTTGGTCAACAGACAGCTTTTAATTAGATCTCACGCCTAGATCGTGCATGTATATCTCTCACGTCATTGCTTCACGTGGACTTAGAAAAGTATATACAGCGGTGCAGGTACTCATCCGTTGAGTCACTTTAAAAAATTACCGTTATGTATATTTCCATAAAACGTTTTAGAAAAATATTTATTTAATCATTTTAACGACGTGCTTCGTATTTAAAGACCTACCTATTCTTTTTAATTAAAACTTGTCTGACATAAATCTACATAATGTTACATTTTACTGTATTTTAAAGCATGAACTACACTGGCATGTAGCTATTTATTTTTTAATTGGATTTATATTTTTAGTCATCGATGCATTTTTGTATATATACATACATAAATGTAAGCTGCAATATTCGCATATTTTATATCATTTTGATGGATGATTTCATTATATTTCTGTATCTTTTCAAATTTTACTCTTATTTTGACTTATGTGTATTCTTCCCTATTAGTTTTATTTGACGTTAGAGTATTTTTGATACCCTTATGTACACACGGAATTGTGAACCTATTACAGAATTACCCACCAAAACGCATTATCAGCGCTGATGCTAGTAGGCTTTCCATTACCCATGTTATTAAAACACAGGATCATTGCGTTCACTGGCTGACTTACCATGAGTCATGTTATTGCAAATCAGCGTCCCATTACGTTCATTAGTCAAGCAAGTGTTGACGTTGTTGATGGAGTCTGCCTGGCTCCGATTCAGGCTCGCCTTGCTTTCAGTGACGTCATGCGTGATACTGCCCAGAGGTCTCGCACCTACATCGCAGCCTGCAAAAAGTTGATCAACAAACTCGTTATTGACATGCGTACCTTTTTTAATTGTACCCAAGCATAGATGGTACAAAAGTAATCGTAAAATATTTTACAATGTGCAACAGACAAATTAATCCTCAATATATAAAGACTTAATCATTTTCATTTTTAAAAAAAATGTATTTAGATTGTTACGCGACGCTTTAAATAGGCCCTAATATACATTGAGGTTGCTATATTCAATACTTTTTTAATATGCAGGGAAGGCAACAGTTTAAATGTATCTTACCTAGCATGGAGTGAAAAAAGTACAATGTAAACAGAACTTTCCAGATACAGCGGACATCCATAGCCCCGTGTCTATGTTTTTCTAAATCTATTGGCAAAAAAAATATTAGTATATCAGTATGATTTAATGATAACGCTTTTAAATTTATTTTCAAGTTTATAAAGTCATCAATAAATGACGTCACGCTTTTTGGACGATTTTTACCTCCAAACCTACAACATCGTCATAAAAGCCAGACCGCTCCCCTTCACTAAAATGACGTCACACCTCAGCCTACACTCCCCCCCCCCTCCAAATCGCAGTTGAATTTTTTTTTAAGTACGATATTTTTCAAAAATCTTGTCGGAAGTCTGTCAAAAATGAGTATTTTTATCAAATTTTATTACAATTTATTAAAACGCGAAATTACGGCTAACATTCGTTTTCTAATATTGCATTTTATAATGCAAAAGTGTGACGTCACACCATCTGAACCCTCCCCCTCATCACACACCGTCACAAAATTACGGAACCCCCTAGCCAGTAGCGTACGCAGGGGGGGTGGGAGCAGGGGGAGCGGCCGCTCCCCCTCTGGCCATTTTCAGCAAAGTGGCGCCTTTTTGGATACTTTTTAAACTCAAAGTTTTAAACAATGATATTTGTTAAAAAATATTTTTGGTCGGCACATCTATGTAAATCACAAGATTTCTTTTCATGCAGCAATTAAGCATTATTGTACTAGTCTAGTAGTGTCTACGTTTACAACACATATTAACAGCTGCATCAGTTTGCCATTCTAAAAATAACCATTACGATGCATTGCAATGTTTAAAAAACCTCTACGGTAGTACCACTTGGCAAGAGGGGTGTTAAGTTTAAGGCAACTGTATAATGTATTTGCTTACGAATTTAGAAAATGTTATACATAAAACTTCACACATAATTACTTTATATATACAGTTTTAATCGTGTGATTAATTTTAAAAAAATTACAATACAGAAACAAATACAACTGATTTGGCACCTCTATTTAAATTTACTTATGAGCAAACTGCGTAGTGGTGGGGACATTTTGACAAGGTCAACAACGTAACACCTAGGTTTACACTGGGTTGGATAATTGACCTAAAGTGGCCGGACAGTGGTGAATGAAGTTTAACCCACCCCCCCCCCCAACCCACCCCGAACTGATCTGTTAAGTACATGTAGAAAAACGCGTAATTATGTACCAAAGTACCATGCCGCCACAAAATTAGCTTTTTAAACGTAAAACTCTGTGAATATTGTTTTTCCAATTACCAGTAAAAAGGTTTGTGATCAATCAAGTGATCTAACCCATACCTATCACTATGTTAAATAAACCGGTAGTGATCTCCCCTAAACGTTCTCGAATATTCTTATATAAAATAACGGGATGGGAAGTCGGGCTATAGATATGATTTTTAATTCATTTTAAATACTTAAAGTTTTAAAAATAGAATAAAATCTCGTAGACAAAAGATTGCACACCAAGTGAACGCCAAATAAAAAAGTGCATAATAGTGCGCAATATTATTAGTACTTTAAAAATTTACATTAGTTTTTTGAGAAATCGGAAGTAGCGTAAAGTACTACTTCCGGGCAACGAAAATTACTCAAAATTTGACAGAAGATAGAGAATTAGATATTATACTTACATGTGAAATTTCATTTATCTATCTGAAATAGTACTCAAGTTATAGGCTTTTGAAAAATTCAAAGTAGAAAAAGTACCACTTCCGGTTATCGGAAATCGCTCAAAAGTTTATACGGATCTACGATTTTGATAAAATACTTATATATGAAATTTCATCAACCTAGCTGTAATGGTACTCAAGTTATCGTGTTTACACACGGACAGACAGACAGACAGACACACAGACACACAGACATACGGACAGAATTGCAAAGCCCAGTTTTTCAGACTGGATTACGCATAAAACCTCTTAATTTTGATAAATCTGGATTGATAATTTTTGCCCGATTAAAATAAGTCCTCTATACTTCGGATGTGATGAAGGACTGAGGTGTAATACGGTAAAAATTGTTAAAATTTCAAGTGATTTTTGTGCACGATTACAATACTTTCTCTATACTTCGTATATACGAGAAAGTAAAAAATGATCTTTAAAGAACACAAAGAAGCAGTAGTTAATTAAAATATATGACGATATATTAAATACTGATTATAGACAAAAAAAAATTTGTAAACACGAATAGTGTTAAACAATTTCATTATATTGTAAAGTAATTATTTATTTGTTTTGACATTTATAATTAAATGTGTAGATATATACATATTTATTTTAAGAGAGTGATTATTTCCCCTATTTCACTTGTCTTAAATAATTTCTTAGAAATTATTATGTAAGAAATTATTTTACAAGAATTACAAAACAGATTATTTTACGTTCATTGTTTTTGGTTGTAGTATATATATATATATATATATATATATATATATATATATATATATATATATATATATATATATATATATATATATATATATATTACACGTATATAGAGCGTGTTAAAAATTCGGCGCCTTTTTTTGCTCTTTTCGCTCCCGCTGCAACGAAAACCTGGATACGCCTCTGCCCCTAGCCCATACGAATGTGATGTCATTTATGAAAGACCCCTATGTTATTTTTAACACGTGAGTGCCATCATATTAAATGCTTACTAACTGTGGAAATTCAGTTGTAAGTGTAGTTTGTTAACATGCACAAAAGGATTTAACATTAGGATCTTATCTCACGAGTGTGGGAATTAAGAATGAAAACAGTTTCTGTTCAACCTCAGCCTTTACACACCTGCACATCTCAATGTGATGAGTACGATATAATTTGTTTACACTGCTTTCATACCTAAGGGGTAGTCTTGATCGCTACGGCACCTTCCACCTGTCTAGATATGTTAGTGTAATGAACTCAAAGTTGACCTACGTGTATAAGAACTCTATTGAAACCATACTGCCACACATAGATGTTAAATTAAACAAGGATAGGCCTATCCAGCCATATTTTTAAAAAAATATTTAGTCAAACGACGTAAACAATATGCTTTGTTTTCTATAGATGTTTACTGGTGCAGTGATGTAAAGAAAGAGATATTACCCTAAAAGGTGCGCGAAAGAGTTTTAATTGTTATTGTCATTTTATTTATCGTCTAGATAACAAACTCTGCTGCTCAATAGAATTAACATGCTTCTTTATATAACCAATCACGCTGCTTAAATGCTCTAGTGACCTGATGACAATGAGATCTGACATCAAATTTTATAAGAATTAATTGACATTTACAACATGAAGTACTATATGCCGTGCTATTATACGCGCATTTTTCATGTTCATTTGATGCGTAATAATTTTTAGTCATACAATTCCATAACGCTGGACCAAATAGTTGTTGCCAGAAAGCATATTTTTACTTTCTCGTTTACAGAGTAGGGCCTATAGAGGAAGTATTGTAATCTTGCACAAAAATCACATGAAATGTTTATAGTCTCCACCTTTTTACACCTAGTACTGCATCATATAAACATATACGGCAGAAACTCTTAACGAGATTTATAAAAAATTCGGCGTTTTACTGGGTTTTGTAATTCTGTCCGTGCGTGTGTGTATGTATGTGTGTATTTCTGTGAATATGATAACTTTAGTACCGTTACAGTTGATGAAATTTCAAATATAAGTGTTATACCATTTTTGTAGTTCTGTATCAACTTTTCAGCAATTTTCTGTAACCGGAAGAGGAACTTACTTTTGGTTTTTCAAAAGCCTAAAACCTGAGTACTGTTTCAGATAGATAAACTAAATTTCACATATAAGTAGATAATTGAATTATTTCCTTCTGTAAAATTTCGGGTAATTTCCGTTTGACAGGAAATAGTACTTTACGCTATTTTCTATTTCTCAAAAACACATATATGAATTTATAAAGTACTAATACTCCGCACTATTACACACATATTGTTTACTATTCACTTTAAAGCGCAATTATTTTTTCTATGAGATTCTATTCTATTTTTAAAAAGTTTAAGTACGTGAAATCTTATTAAAAAGCATGTCTATGCCCCGAGTAGCCATCCCTGTTATATAAGAATATACGCGAAAGTTTAGGGGAGATCACTCCCGCTTTATTAGTTCGCATAATTTAAATATTTTGCGCTGCGTTTACCACCAATGTTACATTTTATGATTTATAGAGTTCTGTATTTTTCTGAATTGAAAATAAAAACGGGTATTAGGATATAATGAAATTAGATATTTCCATTATTTTAAAAACTGCTATTATATATTTCAAGTTTTATGTTTTTTATATTTTAGAGACCTAAAACCTGCTTTGTTTATTAATTATTATTAATTTGATCACAACTAAAAAACATGTTTCTTAATTCAAGCGTTGTTGCGATTGTGGTATGGGTTGTTATTTGTTTTTTTGATATATGTTTTTGTTACATGTTTTTGTTATAAATGTTTGTTTTATGTTTTTGTTTCTGTTTATGTTTAAGATGGTTGTGAGAGTTAGTGTTTATAATTATTTTTGTTCTTACTTTTGTGTTTATTTTTTATTTATTTTTTTTTTTATTTTTTTTTTTAATTTTGTGTTTATTTTTGTTTTTATTTTAATGTTTTTGTTTGCGTTTGTGTTTGTGTTTATGAATTTTTGTTGAGGGTTAGGTTTATGGCTCAGGTGTATGTTAATGCTAAAGATGATGATGTTACTAATCTTTTTCATGTTCCGGTTCCTGTTTTTGCTAATGCTTCTCTTCCTGTTTCTATTCAAGGTCAAGGTCATGGTTATGGTCATGGTCATGGTCATGTTGATGTTCGTGGTTATTGTCGTATTCGTCTTAGTCTTCGTGGATCTTGGTTCATGGTTCATAGTTTATGGTTTTTCGTTCGTAGTTCATGGTCTATGGTTCATAGTTCACGGTTTATGGTTCATGGTTCATGGTTCATGGTTTATGGTTCTTGGCTCAATTTTCATGGTTCGTGATTCATGATTCATGGTTTATGGTTATTGGTTCAAGGTTCACGGTTCTTATTCATGGGTTTATGGCTGATGATTCATGGTTCATGTTCATAGTTCCTATTTTATGTTCATGGTACATGGTTCATGGTTTTGTCTTAATAAACATGATTCAGCATCTTATAGTAAAAACATCTGTGGTCAAATATTCTAAAACCAAAATTTCCCTTATTAATGTATAGATAATATTTTTTTAATATTTATTAGTTTCGGCACTCATAAAATGCCAACAATAAAATACTAATTAACAAATTAGATCTATAAATAGACTTTTATTTTATAAAACCTAAAACTAAATGTTATAAAAAATAAATTAATTATACAAAATAAAAATGGTGAAATCTACACAGTAGGTTAGTCAATGTAGATGCTAAAATGTTTCCAAGTGAAAACAAAGAAGAATAAGTTGTATGATCACGTGCAGAATAAATAGGAAATAAAAGCCTTTAAGAACAACTAGATACATTACTTTTACAAAACAGCGAAATAATATCAACGTTATTAGGAAGATACTAAAGTGCTATGTATATAATTATATGATATGACAATACGAGAGAGAGGACGTTCAAATTTATAAAAAAAAAAGTTTTAAAAAATTGGAGGATGTAAAAAGTTGCATCAATATATTTGCGATTTTTAGGATATGACTGGCCAATGTGCTGTCTCTGCTGCAGCCCTAGGTTATCCTGCGGTTGCTAGTGGAACATGGGCGGCACCTCTCTGACGTGGCTGCACGAGCATCCTTATCAGCCAAAACACTGAAAGTAAAAATGCGATTCCCGAAATTTTTTAAAACTATAAACCTTACCCCTATCTCGTACAGCTTAGGGAAGTATACAAAAATGCGATTCACAAACATTTTAAAAACTATAAACCTTACCCCTATCTGATACACCCTGGGCAGGAATATAAAAATGCAATTCAGAAAATCTATAAAAAAAACTATAAATCTTACCGCCATGTTATACAGCCTAGGAAAGTAAAATAAATATGCAATTAACTCTACCATTGTAAACTTTATACATTAACTCTCTTTCAACCTTTATAATATAAATTGGAACGTAGGAAAAAATAACGTACTCAAAGAAAGGAAATTCCACCAGAGGGTTCCTATAATGAACACACGTTCTATGAACTTAAATACAGTTAGATTCTGCAACCAGATCGCTAGTTTAACACTCCTGAAAATGGTAAGAATGTAAAGCATTTAGTGAAAGTCAATGGAAGTTCTTACACAAAAAAAAAAATAGAAAAATAATCGCGTTTTGTTAAACTATACGTACGGAATAAAGTTTTTCCCTGACATTTCGCGTTTACCTAATGAAATATCTTGAGCTGTAATGTTTTTTTAGTAAATGCTGATTGTTTAATGATTAAAGAAAAATATTGCTGTCAGATAGTAACTTTTTGGTGACACCAATGAGCATAAAAAATATATCAGACAAAATATCTCAGCAAAATTTTAAAAGTATGTACGATGATTTGAACTTTTTATAAATTATCTGTCAATATAGGTTTGTTTATTTTTTTACGCATAATTATTGTGAATAAAATTGAATTTGTTAAACTTAACAAAGCGTCAAAAGATTTATTAAATTTAATCTTTGTAATAGCATTTGATTTGAAAAAGCAAACAATTAAAAAAAACTTACCCCTTACCTCCACCCTCTTCTTCTTCTTCATCATCTCCATCATCTTCTCCTGCTGCAAACTCATAATCCTCCTCCTCATCATCATCTTCTCCTTCTGTAAGTTTAACGTTGTGTCAGTGAATTCAAAGCTTACTTATATGTATAAGGCAGGAAGATATTGTTTTAATTATTAAAAAAATACATAAAAAACGTTTTAATAACAAGCTTTTATGTAATAATGCACTAAAAAGTAGAAAATAAATTATAGACTATTTAAATAACTATAAAGAAAAGCGTGGGTGTCTTCCTTAACATTATTAAAGGTATCCAATAGATACTAAAGTGACCCACGCTTTTTTATAGTTATTTAAATAGTAGTCTATAATGTATTTTCTACTTTTTAGTGCATTATTACATAAAAGCTTGTTATTAATACGTTTTTTATGTATTTGTTTTTAGTACTTTACATGTTTTATTTACAATAGAGTTACATGACTAAAAACCATTGCGCGCCTACTGAACGTGATGGCACAGCCATTGAACGTGATGGCGCAACTATTGAACGTGATGACGCGTGTGGTGTGGTTGGATAAACATGCCTACTAATTCGTGCCAAATTTTAATTAATTCATAAAAAAATAATTAGGCATCCAATTAAGTCAAATTTAATTTTCAGATTGCATTGTCTTCATGTCTTGACCCACGTGCCAACTGTGAATCGTATCGGTCAAGTAGAAGTGTCCGAATTTTCACTCCGGCGTTTCGATCTAGACACACTGACGGCTGACGACTGACGACAGACTGCCGACAGAGGAAGCGAGTTAAATAAAAGCTTGTTAAAAAACAACAGTGGTTGCTACCAAAACAATTCGTACGTCCTGAATAGCGTGTAAGGAGTTCAACTAAATTCAGCGTTAAAACTTCATCAGGGGCAAACACCGGGCTTTCCCTTCAGCAAAATGGCGCATACGTTCGTTTTAAATGTAATGGGACATTACAGTCGCTCACTAAATTAAATCAGGTGTGTCCGCCGGCGCCCTGGTATGGTGCGATTCGGCTGCGAACAAAAATTTCAATTTCGGCAAAGAAAGGCTCACATCGGCCGCTGAGGGCCATGAAATTAAATTTTGTTGATTTATCAGATAAATTAACCAAGGTTAGATTTTTAACCGGGATGTTTACTTTTGTCCATAAAAAAATCCAAACAATTCCAAAACCTACAGTTCTCGAAATAATGAAATATTTCGTAAAAAATTCGGTTTCAAAGGGCGAATCAAATCTGAAAATAAATGTCACACTTCTAAAAGTAACTTTGTAACGCGAGGAAATCCTCGTTTGCAGTTTTATCCCTTTGCGAATGATGCAAATAGCATCTATTTTTAGGCGATTCAATTAAAAATTGAGATCGAGCTTCTAATAATACATTATTAGTAACGCTAACAAATAGTATCAATCACACTGATATTTATAACACGTCAAATAATTTTTTCTACGTGACAAAGAAAAATCCTGTTAGTTGTTGTCACTTTAGCGAATGACGCATTCTGCATCTGCATCATTGTTTCAAGATGCAATTTGTCGTCCTGGGTTATCCTGTGAGCACTATGGCACTTATGTTAGTTTCAACGAGCCAGCGGCGTACGCGGCGCCTCTGCGGTAGTGTATCTCGGGCTGCCGAGAGCTCCCCTCTACATCACTGACACATGGGCGGTCACCGAAGTGTGTTCTACCTCATTATTACGGTGAGTGATTAACGTACACTCAAGGTTTTCATGCCGTAGTGTAGGTAAACCCGTGTCCCTATCTGTATGATCCAAGCGCAGGCATTGTTTATATTTAAATAACTCCGTTTTTTAGAAAACAAGGTCACCCGTCTAAGAATATAGGATTGGAAAATATAGCATTGATGAAACCCTTTTTATAGTTATATATTTTATAGTTATATAAATACGGGTGCGTATATATATATATATATATATATATATATATATATATATATATATATATATATATATATATATATATATATATATATATATATATATCGTAGGATGTATGGATGGAAGGTTGGATGGATAGGGGATAGGTTTATATTCCTAAAAGAAACACTTTATACATAACTATATTTATAATTAACATCAATCTACTAATATTAATTTACACATTTATTTACAAAGGTGAAGGTCACAACAAAGAACTGACTTAAGTCGCTCACCATCTTCCCCCCATTCACCGACCCAATCACAGAATCCGTTGTGTGTAACCGCCGTCACGTTGAATAGCCGGGTGTTGTTTTCGCTAATTTTAACGACAAATTCAGACGGGAATAGGAAAATCATCATATCACTGTCATAGTTCTCGTACAGTTCGCTCTGGTTGGTTTCCTCGAGTTTCACATCAAACTTTAGACGGAAAGATAATGGTAGATGTTAAAGGTCTATAGAGAAGTAAGTAAAATTTAGTCTATGTATATATATATATATATATATATATATATATATATATATATATATATATGTATATATAATACAAGCGTATTGGTGAACATGTATAGAAGTTTTTTTGTAGTAATGTAACAAGGGTTATGTGTAGGTTTATTTTGTTGACAATAAGGAGGATTAAACGTGCAGCACATATTGAATATTAGGACCACACGAAGGATATGTTGAAGAGTTGAAATGTACCGAGAAAGCGGTCTTTGAAGTAATTTAAACACTGTAATGTTTGTTCCTAGAGATAAAAGCAAACCGTAAAAATAATAGTAGATTCAAATACAAAATACATGAGGTCGAACAAAAATAAAAGCGAAGAATCTATTAAACCAGCAAGAAACAACGTGACTCCTAAACCAACAACAACATCTACAACTACACCTATACCTACAAATAAACAGGCACCTACACCTAGCTACACCTACAACTACACATCAAACCCACACTTAAACCTACACAAACACCTACAACTACACCAACACATTACACCTACACCTACACCTACACCTACACCTACACCTACACCTACACCTACACCTACACATACACCTACACCTACACCTACACCTACACCTACACCTACACCTACACCTACACCTACACCTACACCTACACCTACACCTACACCTACACCTACACCTACACCTACACCTACACCTACACCTACACCTACACCTACACCTACACCTACACCTACACCTGCACCTGCACCTGCACCTGCACCTGCACCTGCACCTGCACCTGCACCTACACCTACACCTACACCTACACCTACACCTACACCTACACCTACACCTACACCTACACCTACACCTGCACCTGCACCTGCACCTGCACCTGCACCTGCACCTGCACCAACACCAACACCTACACCTACACCTACACCTACACCTACACCTACACCTACACCTACACCTACACCTACACCTACACCTACACCTACACCTACACCTACACCTACACCTACACCTACACCTACACCTACACCTACACCTACACCTACACCTACACCTGCACCTGCACCTGCACCTGCACCTACACCTACACCTACACCTACACCTACACCTACACCTACACCTACACCTACACCTACACCTACACCTACACCTACACCTACACCTACACCTACACCTACACCTACACCTGCACCTGCACCTGCACCTGCACCTGCACCTTCACCTACCCCTACCCCTACCCCTACCCCTACCCCTACACCTACACCTACACCTACACCTACACCTACACCTACACCTACACCTACACCTACACCTACACCTACACCTACACCTACACCTACACCTACACCTACACCTACACCTGCACCTGCACCTGCACCTGCACCTGCACCTGCACCTGCACCTGCACCTACACCTACACCTACACCTACACCTACACCTACACCTACACCTACACCTACACCTACACCTACACCTACACCTACACCTACACCTACACCTACACCTACACCTACACCTACACCTACACCTACACCTACACCTACACCTACACCTACACCTACTTCTACACCTACACCTACACCTACACCTACACCTACACCTACACCTACACCTACACCTACACCCACATTTACACCTACACCTACACCTACACCGACATCGACACCTACGCCTATACATTACACCTTAAACTTTACCTTCAACTTCTTGATCATCTTTCTATAGTCGATCCTTTCTCTATTGACCTCGATAACTGTGACATTAAAACAAGCTCCCAAGATGTCAAGCACAAATGTGTATCCCAGGTCTGGCTCTATTGTTGTAGTACCAGTGATGCCTGTGGAGCAAACACAGTAGTAAAGAACAGCTGGGTAACGGGGATCGGAGTAACCAACACGAGACTGGTTAGTTGGGAACAGCGGGTCTATTGGGCATCAGGGAACAAAAACAGTACTGTTCTGTTTAGTAGGAACTGCATGGCTATTTGGGATCACGGAATTACAGTGATGTACGCATTCTTAATGATTTGAGAAGTGGAGGCGAGGGAATGACCTTATATAGAACTACGGGGGATGGCAACTCAGGATGTGGACACACTTTTTAATCAATTTTTAACTACTTAAAGTTTTTGAAATAGATTAGAATCTCTTAGAAATAAGAATTGCGCACCATCCGTACTAGTACTAATTCATATGCGGTTTATTGAGACATAGGAAATAGCACAAAGTACTACTTGTGGGCACAGAAAATTTGACGAAAGTGAGAAAATTAAATCTTTTACGTATATTTCGTTTATCTGTCTAAAGCAAATTTATAGGCTTTTGAAAAACCAAAAGTAGAAACGTTCCTCTTCCGGCTATTGGAAAAAGCTGAAAAGTTGATACAGAACTCTTCATTCGATATAAAACTTATATACCTATATATGAAATGTCATCAACCTGTAATGGTACTCACATTACTTTGTTTACAATCAGACACATACACACTTACAGACATATAGGCCTACGGACAAATTTGCAAAACTACATTTTTCCGAATCAGAGTGGTGAGAAAATATTGATTTCCATTTTTTAGCACGATTACAATACTTCCTCTATACTTCGTATTCGAGAACGTAAAAAGAAAACTAGCTTCTTCATCTATAACGTAAACCTACAATTACATCACACCTATAAAATTAGACTCTACAACTTTAAACTGTACCTACACGTACATCACACCTATAAAGTTAGACTCTACAACTTTAAACTGTACCTACACGTACATCACACCTATAAAGTTAGACTCTACAACTTTAAACTGTACCTACACGTACATCACACCTATAAAGTTAGACTCTACAACTTTAAACTGTACCTACACGTACATCACACCTATAAAGTTAGACTCTACAACTTTAAACTGTACCTACACGTACATCACACCTATAAAGTTAGACTCTACAACTTTAAACTGTACCTACACGTACATCACACCTATAAAGTTAGACTCTACAACTTTAAACTATACCTACAAGTACATCACACCTATAAAGTTAGACTCTACAACTTTAAACTATACCTACAAGTACATCACACCTATAAAGTTAGACTCTATAACTAAAACCTACACCTACACGTACATAGCACATATTACCTTAGACAATACAACTATAATCTCATGTTATTATAACACAATGTCCCAACGTGTAGCTAGTTGACTTACCACTAATAATGCCATCACGGGGAAAGTCCCCCACTGTTTCGTTAGCCGGGCATGTATTGAAGTTGTTGGTGAATTCCATCTCGTCCAAACTCGGCCTCTGTCCGGTGCACCTGACGTCATGAGGGAAACGGCCCAGACTGTTCAAACCGTTTCTACTGCCCTCGTTGCAGTTTGACTCGTTCTCTATGGAGCACGTCGTATAGACGGAATAGTTACTACAGCTGGAATTATCCTGGCATTTGGCTCCGATCCTCAATACATCGCAGCCTAGATATAACGAAGCTATAAATTGAGGCTGTGGTATATTAATATAATATTTTATGTATCAAAAAATATATTTTGTTAAGATTGATTTGAATTTCTCTTACCTAGCACAGGGAAGGTAAGGATTAACAAGATAGGTAGTTTCCATGTCCAGGTGACATCTATTTCAATGTGTCTGAATTCTGATCTCTATATCAAACATATCGTTTACTAAAATTAATGATTTCTCTTTTTAATTGATTATCATGGTTATTGTAAATTAGGCACGTGAATGTTCTTATATTAAATTTTAATTAATTAAGTAAATGTAGCTTGTTAACATAAATATCAGGTAGGATTGAACTATTTACTTTTTTTTTAAATGTGTTAAACATCGGCCCTCACACATGCATAACCACAGTAGTTAAGTAATGTAAAATCTTGCTCCGTCTACCTACATCAGGTATTGTCTTGATAGTATCTGTGCCTTCCAGCCCAGAGGCCCTTTAACCAGGTATGTGTTTGGTGTTATCTGTCCTGCATATGTTAAGACTTTATCAAAACCAAAAACTGCTAAATACAGTTGTTAAGCTAAACATGTACTGATAGAAATAAAAGTATATTTTAATGGTAATCTATTGTTTTAGGTGCACAAAATCGGTCGGATTGAAAAAAAAGATAACTCATTAAAATGGTAAACACACAAGTTTAGTGTTATGTATTGTATAAACTATAATAATAAACAAAAAGCTGAATATGCTCTATAGCACTATAGGCCAGAAATTAACATTAAAAAGCAGTGTTTGAAAGCAAGAATTGCTATATAAACATTGGTCTTAAGTGGTTTTCATTGAAATTATAATTATAATATACAGAGAAAAAAACAACTTTAAAACAAGGTTTGTCTTGTTGCATCTGATGAAAACAGCACTCACCTGTTTTATTACTCAGTTTTAATAACCTTTTTTTACTAGATCTATCTTCGGCTGACTTTACGTGACTAAAACGATATTACCTTTTAAATATATTGACTCGCTGTAATTTGAAGTAAAATCATTTGTTTCTCTTTTAAGCTTACCAATAAAAGAAACAAAATTGATACTTTAAGACCACTGCTAAGGCATATTGTGTAATATTAAGTGTAAACAATTGCTACAAGACGATATGTAGGCCGACTCGTTCAATTTTAATGCGCAACGGTGTAACACCTAAAAAGTGCGCAACACAATTTACATGTTATGTGTCTGCGTGTTGTGTATGTGTGTTTGTGTGTTTGTGTGGTGTGCGTGTGTGTGTGCGCGCGCGTGAGTGTGTGTTATGTTGTGTGTGTATGTGTGTGACCAATCTTTTCTCTCTACATAAACAAAGGCTTCAAGAAACAAACACAAACCCTTCACATTACCAAACTTTTCACCACCACCCTCCACTGCATACAAAACTAATTGCCCCTCCTCTATAACAATCCGTCCAAATCCATCAACAGCAAGATCAACCCTATAAAACCCAAACTCAAACGTAGTAGATTTGATACAATCCTCTAATCTAATAGATACGATCCGATCCCCTGACATTAACCAAACGTTGCAACGGCTATTTAAACATGTATAGTACACAACACACACTCATACACACACACACACATATGTATATATATATATATATATATATATATATATATATATATATATATAGATAGATAGATATATACATATATTATATATGTAGAATATATAGGCCTATATATATATATATATATATATATATATATATATATATATATATATATATATATATATATATATATGAAGGGCTCAGTGGAAAAAGTACTTAAGTTACATTTTGTCAAAAATGAGTTAAGACCGGTATATTATTTGACTACGTACACTTAACCATCCCTGTAAATTTGGGCCATGGAAAAAGTACAGAAGTAGCTTAATTTAAATACTCTGCATCAGCTGTTTTGGTATTTCAATAACAATTAAAAAACTTTGCACTCATTTTTCTCAAAACTCTCAAAATACACTTAAGTACTTTTTCCACTAAGCCCTTCATATATATATATATATATATATATATATACATATATATATATATATATATATATATATATATATATATATATATATATAAATGAGGTGTGTAGATACGTCAAGCCACATCCGTTATGACCTCTCTAACTGACTCATTGAAACTTTTCTCATTCATCTATTACAGGGGTCGGCGACCGGCGGCTCGCGAACCGCATGCGGCTCTTTTGATGTCAAGATGCGGCTCTTCAGCTCCATGCACAAATATTAATAATTATTTTATTTTAATTTAAAACTCATAAAATTTTTAGTCTGCAACACTCTCTATTTCAATGTACGTCCTTGTTTTCTAAAAAAAATGTAAACAATGCCTGTTTTTTGGATCATATTTATGGAGGCACGGATTTACCTACACCCCCCCCCCCCCGCCCACCATCCTCGCGTGCTCTATGAAAGTCTTGAATGTAAGTTACTCACTAGTTCGGTTTAATCCTTGAATGTCGTGTGCCGCATTATCAATATTTTAGGGTGTTCCTAAAATCTAATGTGGACGCTTTGTGCTCGCAGGATAGGTCTGGGCGCCAAATCGCACTCTACAGAGACGCCCGCCAGAGGATTCGCCTGATTCGATTTAGTGAGCGACCATAGCAAAACCATTTTATCCATAGCCTATCGCGCACTCAAAACACACACAACACACACACTCCACACACACACACACACACACATATATATATATATATATATATATATATATATATATATATATATATATATATATATATATATATATGTATATATATATATATATATGTATATATATATATATATATATATATATATATATATATATATATATATATATATATATCTGTGTGTGTGTTTTTTGTTTAAATATATTTAAAATATCTTAATTTAATATGAAATTTACTATATAATAGTTACTGTTTTTACTGGCTCGTTAATGAAGTATAGAGACAAACATCTGACAAAACAAACAAAGAAAAATTACCTAACTACAAAATACATTTATAAAGAAATGGAAAACATTTGATATATAAATATATTATAATTTAATACTCATTGAGGGTTAATGTTATAACGCTTTTCATATAAAAGAATGTCTCAAAATAGTATTGAAATTATAATAATACTATATTATTTTATTATAATGCATTGGTATAAAAAGCAAACTCAACAATTCTTTCTAATTCTTTCTTAGCAGATGTTATTTAGCACTTGTGATTGTTTCATTACCTGTATATTCTTTTTTTTTCTTTTAAAATACTTGTTCACATTTTTATAATATTTTATTAAGCTAAGTTCCTTTTTTTTAAAAAACCATACTATAAATATTTTCGCCCGAAAACTAGAGCACTTCGATGTTTCATATATGAGGCAGGACGAAATAGATGATTTTTTTCCAAGTGGAATGTAATAGGATGTTGTGTTTTGATTACATTAAGAATATGATTGAGGGGGGGGGGGAGTTTAGGAAAATTAGCTGAAAATAAATATGTGAATTTTACGGAAGCGAGCGAGAAAAATAGTATACTTAGTAGTATACTAAATATATAAAATATATAAATAGTATACTTTTTTTGTTACATTCTAAGATACCTATTAAAATCATACAGATGAAATGTGGGGAAATTTAGAAAAGATAAAAAACCACGTGATGTTAGTAAAGCTCATACAACGTTGACATGGCGATTAAAACAACAAAGGCTGATCGATGTGGTAGCTGTGGTGCTGTCCTTGGTTAACCCGCAGGAGCAGCCTGCTGTTGGATAGCAACCATCAGTTGCTCTAGGTTTGCTATCAATTGATTCCTTCTTCGCCAAGCAGCTGGAAAAAAAGTACAATAAACCAGATGAGCGAGAACTTAACATTGTTCTCTTATTCAACACAGCGGAGCATAGAAGGCAAAAAAAAATGCAATCATCCATTGAGTAAAAACATCTGACCTTAACCACTTATGCCCAGTTTTCATGACGAAAATTGCAAATAATAAATAAAACTCGAAACCTTAACCCACATCCCACATGACCATGGGAAATAGAGCTAGAAATGCAATAAACCCAATCAGTGAAAATTTCAAACGTTACCACCACGCCTCCCATGCATTAACATAGCAAAGAAAAATGCTATTGGCCAGATCAGTGAAAACACCAGACCTGACCCCCTCCATCCCCCCTCCAACTCCCATGGCGAAGAATGGCAAATAATAATGCTATTCACGATAATGCTATGCCCAACATGGGCACGTACATGTTGTACTATCTATCTATGTAATTCTCTTCATGGAGGGACCATGCGGGACACAACCACGTATACCCACGCCGACACGCCCCTCAACAAACCATATCGATACCACCCCCCAACAACACCAGTCTGGTGAACTAAGGTTCACACCAAAATATTTACAATCGTAGAGCCAGGTCGAATGAGTGAGGCTGCTAGGGGCAGATAATTTAGTTTTTAAACAATTTGAAACTAGGGGGGGGGGGGGGGGGGGGGAGGGAGGTAATAACAAGCTCTGCTTTATCTTTTCATTGTTATCTGTAAACAGTCGTCATGGACGGCTGCTTTCGCCGGGGCGGGGGTGGGGGAGGGAGGTGGGATAATCTTCCTTCACGAGCTACTGATTCTGTTTTAAAACAAAATATTTTCAGTCGCTGCATTGGTAGTGTCGAATTCACTGAGTTACTGAAAAGTAGAAAATAAAACAATTAAATAGCGGCGTGTGCTACGTCGCGGGTCGCTTCATGTACAATAAAATAACTTACTCAGAAAATAGAGAAATGCCATGAAGGTTGAATGAAAAACGAACACTATCAGTGTCATTCTGATTTTCAAATTCTCATTCCTATTCAATATTAATAAAGGAAAGCATTTAGTAAAAGTCAGTGAAACAATGTTTACAAAAAAAAAGAAGAGAAATAATCGAGTTAAAATAAAACTATACGTACCAATCAAGACATTTTCCTGATAAATCACATATTTTTAGTGTGAAAACTTGGGCTATAAAAAGAAGTAAAAATGTATAGAAATTTTTGCAAGAGGAAAAGGAACGCTAGGAGTTGTGGCATAAGATATTTTGTTTTATTAAAAACTATCCCTTTGTTCCAATTACTGTTTGGTAGAGATAACTACTACAGGTTGGTTTTTTTTTTTTTTTTTTTTTGAAAATTAGAAACAGTAGCCATATTATGTCCCAAGCATAAGAATTAATTTTGGACTATGTTTAGGGAATGATGTGGATTATATTTAAGGAGAGGGGCAAGATATTAAATGAGAATGATTAGATAACGGTTGAGACATAAGGGCTTATAAGAAAGTAGTTGCTTTAAAGCTTGGAGTTGTGTATGTGTTGTTGTTAGCGTATGGATCTCCCCACGATCTAGCTGGGTATCAGGTGTTCAGAACACGGGTTCTCGCATCTGATGGGAGGGAAGATAAGCCTGTTGAGAACCCACGGAAGATAGCGATCAAACTTCGGTGATGAAACCTTCATCTTCTAAGCCAGTTTGTCGAAGTTTAGTGCATGGAGGTGAACATAAACAATGGAAGTTGCGCTCCTGAGCCGGAATGTCTGTGTCATGATAGTAAATAAATCTAGGGCAGTGGTTCTTAGCCTAGGGTAGTGGTTCTTAGCCTTGGGTAGTGGTTCTTAGCCTAGGGTAGTGGTTCGTAGCCTAGGGTAGTGGTTCTTACACTGGGTTCGGTCGAAACCCAGGGGTTCGGTGAGTCATTGTCGTGGATTCGGCGGAGGTCAATTCACACACACCTGACTTATAAATATGATTCACGATAGGGTATTGTCAGAGCGGAGCTTAAAACTAATAAGTAGGGTTTGTTGAATGCGGATATAAAACGTGTGGGGTTCGTTACCTCCAAAAAGGATAAAAACCACTTGGCTAGGTTATAGATGTTAGCTTTAGATTCGGCTCATTTGTTTACTGTACGAGTTGGGACATTGTGTAGAGTGGGCCTAGATGAGGTATTTAATATCCATGTGTATTTACTATATTTAGTCCTAGTTAACTAAATCATTGATTTTAGTAGAGTCAGGCTTTTGCGACTAAAACATTGAAATGCGTGGAAAAGCGTCTAAATTACGTGTTGTATTTCTTAATCACACACACACACACACACACATATATATATATATATATATATATATATATATATATATATATATATATATATATATATATATATATATATATATATATATATGTATATGTATATATATATATATGTATATATATATATATATATATATATATATATATATATATATATATATATATATATATATATATATATATATATATATGTATATATATATATATATATATATATATATATATATATATATATATATATATATATATATATAAAGCAATGTATGTGTGTGTGTTTGTTTGTTTGTCTGTCCTTTATGCATTACTACACCTCTCATCACATCGGCGTGAAACTTTGGGAAGTTGTTGAGAATATTTCTGGGGAGGTTTCTGCGGAAAAAAAATTTCAAATTCGCAGGGGTGGCGCCCCGGCAGGGCGCGATTTGTTTTTCTCTATATACCGTATATAAAAATAAAAGTCGATTTTGGTTTGGCATCGTTCATCCGATAGCCATGAGACTTTGGGGAGTTCATTATACCACTCTAGGGAAGGGTTCTGTAAAAAAATAATTTGTAATTTCGCAAAGGCGGCGCCACGGGAGGGTCCGATTTTTCTCTATATACGGTATATAAAAATAATAAAAGTGAATTGCAGTGACACTGTTCATCCGATAGGCATGAAACTTTGGGGAGTTCATTATACCACTCTAGGGAAAGGTTCTGTAAAAAAATAATTTTTAATTTCGCAAGGGCGGCGCCACGGGAGGGTCCGATTTTTCTCTATATTCGGTTTATAAAAATAAAAGTCGATTTTGGTATGACACCGTTATCCGATAGCCATGAGACTTTGAGGGAGATGATTAGAACAATTCAGGGAAGGTTTCTGTAAAAGAATAATTTTTAATTTCGCAAGGGCGGCGCCAGGGGAGGGTCCAATTTCTCTCTTTTTACGGTATATAAAAAAAATAAAAGTGAATTGCAGTGACACCGTTTATCCGATAGGCATGAAACTTTGGGGAGTTCGTTATAACCCTCTAGGAAAGGGTTATGTAAAAAAATAATTTTTAATTTCGCAAGGGCGGCGCCACGGGAGGGTGCGATTTTTCTCTATATACGGTATATAAAATTTCGTTTTCACACCGTTCATCCGTGTACCATGAAACTTTGGGGAGATGATTAGATCACTCAATGGTAGGGTTCTGCAAAAAATATTGTTTTATATTGCAAGGGCGGCGCACCACCGGGGGGGGGGCGATTTTTTTTTCTCTGTACACGGTATATAAAAAATAAAACTCGGATGCGGTTCATCCGACTGCCATGAAACTTTAGGGAGTAGATGAGAATACTCCCGAGAATATTTCTGCGAAAAAGAAAACCAAAGTTTCTTACGGGCGGCGCCATATAGGGTACAACTTTCGTCAATACACGGTTTGGCGCCCAGAGTTTTAGAGCGATTTAGTTGGCACTTGGCACCCGTTAATCGAGCGTCCTGCATAGCGAGTAAGGGGTACTACTATACTCAGCGGTAAAACTACAACAGTCTTCTAAAAATAACATTGTAACGCGAGGAAATCCTTCTGTACAGTTTCGTCACCTTGCCAAAGATGAAAAAATAACTTTTTGAATATGAGGAGCCTACTGTAGAGTTTCGTCACTTTGCCAGTGATGCAATAAGAATCTACTATTAGACAATCGAGCATCTAATAATAGACCATTAGTAACGCTAGCATATTGCATCAGTCACACTGATGTTTAAAACATGTCAAATACTTTTTTACGTGTTAAAGAAAAAAAGCCTGTTCATTTGTGGCACTTTAGCGAATGATGAAATCTGCATCATTATTAACAGGATGCTATTTGGCACGATGGCGCCTATTACTTTTAAGGAGCCAGGGGTCGTACGCCGCGCCTATGCGGTAGTGTAATCTGGGGGGGGGGGCTGAGAACGCCCCTGTACATCTCTGACACATGGGCGGTCACCGAAGTGTGTTCTAACATATTATTTCGGTGAGTGATTAATGTACACTCAATGTTTACATGCGGTAGTGTAGGTAAAACTGTGTCCCAATATTTATGAATTAAGCGCAGGCTTTGTTTACATTTTAATAACTCACTTTTAGAAAAGACGGTCACGGGTCTAAGAACATATGACTGGTAACGCGTTGGTGAAATCTTTCTAATACATTTCGTCATACTTTCTTCTATCCCCGCGGCAACGCGCGGGGGACGGGTACGCTAGTATATATATATATATTAGATTAAGAAAGTACTTAGTATGACATAAATTTTTAAATAGAAAAAAATTCTTCACAGAGGTAAGTTCAAAACAACAAACTGACTTAAGTTTCTCACCGTCTTTCTTCCCGACGCGGAACTTCTCGAAACTTCCGGCTAGTGTAACCCCAGTGACTTTGCAAAACGGAGGGTTAATTTTGCCAATACTAAATTGAATTATGTATCCAGGCTGTATGTAGACCTTCATCTCATCGGTGTCAGAGGTCAAGGCCAGGTCCAGCTCTCTATCGTTGGTCTCGGTGACGGTCAGCATTAACTAAGGACGGACAAAAAGGTTCAGCTGACAAAGGTTTATACAGTCACTCGTAAATTATCTTTGTTCTATTGTATTTAAAAAAAAAACAAGCGTACAACAGATTTTATTTCTTTTCTTTTTTCTTTCAGTCCCATTACAACTTCTGTGATTAAACATAATTTGACATCCATAATATAATTGAACGTTAAGCCTAGATTATTTTTGAAGTAAAAATAAAGTCGAAGTAATTTCAATGGGGTACGTTGGCGATCATAACATTTCAAAATACACTGACGGCAGGAAAGTAGAGTTCACGTGTTTCAGTGAGGATAGTGTAATCATCAGTATGCCGAACTGCATTTACTTTCCCTAACGTTAATTACGAACTAATCAGAGTTGGTTGGGTTCAGGGCAGTCTTACAGGAAGGATCCTGTGATCCAAACTCCTGACTTTCAGGTTAGCAGTCAAACGCTCTACCATTCGAGCAGTCCGTTTGTAAATCACTTGTGAACTATCCGCGATTTCTGATGTTCTAATGTGTGGACATCTCGTTTAAGAGAAATGCATCGTTTATATCAAAGTGTCTATGCAATCTCTCTCTCTCTCTCTCTCTCTCTCTCTCTCTTCTCCTGTTCATGCCCAAAACACATGGGGCAGATGAAGTAGAGTTCATCTGTTTCAGAGACCTCTGCCTTTGAAAGGATAGTGTAATCAGCACTATGCCTAGTCGCCTCTTTTTCCATTACGTGAGTTAGGTACGCATCAGAGCTGGGTGAACTCAGGCACATTCTACTAACTTGAACCCGGATTCGAACTATACCTTAGGGTTAACAGTCTACCTCTCTACCGGTAGGTCCCGCTGTCCCATCAAGCCAAATCAAACGCCGCTCAACTGATTCCTACCTTGGCTTTGTCGGTCTTTTCTCTTATGAGGATAAAGCAGACGCTGATCACCTTGCCCGATTGGTCGACCTGAAATGTGTAGGCGAGGTCCGGCTTGGTGGTGCCATTGTCGGTGCTGCCTGGGGAACAAAGAAGAAGGTGCTGGCAAGTAGGGAACAGTTGGGCTAATGGGGAACAAACATGGTGCTTTTAAGTAGGGAACAGTTGGGTTAATGGGGAACAAACATGGTGCTTTTAAGTAGGGAACAGTTGGACTAATGGGGAACAAACATGGTGCTTTTAAGTAGGGAACAGTTGGACTAATAGGGAACAAACATGGTACTTTTAAGTAGGGAACAGTTGGGTTAATGGGGAACAAACATGGTGCTTTTAAGTAGGGAACAGTTGGGTTAATGGGGAACAAACATGGTGCTTTTAAGTAGGGAACAGTTGGACTAATGGGGAACAAACATGGTGCTTTTAAGTAGGGAACAGTTGGACTAATAGGGAACAAACATGGTACTTTTAAGTAGGGAACAGTTGGACTAATGGGGAACAAACATGGTGCTTTTAAGTAGGGAACAGTTTGACTAATGGGGAACAAACATGGTACTTTTAAGTAGGGAACAGTTTGACTAATGGGGAACAAACATGGTACTTTTAAGTAGGGAACAGTTGGACTAATGGGGAACAAACATGGTACTTTTAAGTAGGGAACATGTAGGGAACAGCTCAGCCTATTGTTGAACTGTGGAACATATCTGGATTTATCTAGTAGGGAACAGCTGGGCCTTATGTTGAGCTTGGGAACAAATCTGGTTGTATCTAGTAGGGAACAGCTGGGCGTTTTGTTGAGATGGGGAATATATCTGGTTATGGTTAGTAGGGAACAGGTTGGCTAATAGGGGTCAAGGGAAGACAACTGGTGATGTACAGAGTAAAGACATGGCAGAGTGGTTTCCCTGGTGTGTTGCGAAGTGACTTTGCGGACAGGGTCGACGTTGGAAATAATTAGCACGAAGTCCTTATATAGATTCCTCGTTCATTTATTGAAACTTTAAAAAAAAAACGTTTAATATTAGTTATTTTAAATCACTTTTAATGACAATGTATCCAGTTTCTTTATCGGCGTTTAATTTTTTTTAAACTTATATTTTTACTTATTTTGATATTTTCCTATTAGTTTGATTTAATGCTATAGCATTATTGACATTGTGAGTTATACAAAAATACGGCATCTATTATATTGGTGGTAAGGTTAGAGATAATAATGCGAATAATGGAGAGGTAATCACTAACAGCAAAGATTAAAAAAAAAAAAACGTAAAAATAGTTAACATTATTTTTACAATTTTGTAAAATTACAGGATCCCTATTGATGCAAGCTAACTTACGATTAGTGATGTTACTACAACACATCAACTCGACGCTTTCCTTAACCGGGCACGTATTTAAGCTTTTGGTGAAGTTTGTCTGGCTCATATTCAGGCGCTCTCCGTTCTTATTGCGTACGACATCTTGGGGAAAACGGCTCAGAGCTCTCGCGTCGAGTTTCCTGTCGTCTTCACAGTGCGACACTACCGAGTCCCTCTTGTACTGGGACTCGTAACTACAGCGGCAGTTATCCTGGCAATCAGATCCAAACCACCTGACATCACAGCCTGCAAACAGTTGATTAACAAACGCGTCATTGTCTTGTGGCTATTTTAAATTCTAACCGATCATAGAAAATTAAACAAATGATCATTTAATGTATTAACAATGTAAAAAGCCAAATTAAATTTTAATATACATATACTTAAATAATGTTTTTTTTAAAAGGATGTTTAGCATGTTATGATAAGCTCAACAAAAAATATGAATGTATTCAGGATGCTATTTGTCGCTCTGGGTTATCATGTGAGCACTATGGCGCTAATGTTAGTTTCAACGAGCCAGCGGCCGTACGCGGCGCCTCTGCTTTAGTATATCGGGGGGGGGGGGGCTTCCGAGAGGGACGCTACGCCTCTGATATATACATTTATAATGCAGGAAATAAATTGACCCCCCCCCCCCCCATGAGACGATCCTGACTACGCAACTGCTACCATATATGCCATTTCTCTCCCAATAGTTACTATGCTACATAAGTGTTCAGTTTATGACGTTTTATACAAAATATACAAGAAACAGAATATAGCTTCGGGTTAGTACAGTTTAAGAAAAGGGACATATCCCTATATTATTATTATCCATCCAACAAATTCTTAACAAGGTAGAGAAATATATTGCTATGTTCTACTTAAACTATTTACAAATATACCTCGATTTTACTCAACAGATATATTCGTAGATCAAAAGATTGACTCAAGCTAGACCCTGCATGAATAACCGAAACAGCACCAGTTTATTTTACACGACAGCTAAAGCGTTTGGAGTCTACAGTTTATATTATACATGACTGTTAACGTATTCATGTAACATATTTACTTCACGAAAACTCACAAGTGAAGCTCATCCGTTGAGTCACATAAAATATAATATTATTCTATTTTAAAATAAAACGTTTAATATTAATTATTTTAAATTACTTTTAATAACAATGTATTCTGTGTCTTTATCGGCTTTTCAATTTTTTAAACTCATATTTTCACTTATTATGAAATTTGCTTATTTGTTTAATTTAATGTTAGAGCATTCCTGACATTATGAGTTATACAAAATTAAGGAATCTTCTATATTGCCGGTTTGTGATAGTAATGCGAAGAATGGAGGGGTAATCACTAACAGCAAAGATTAAAAATAAACAACGTTAAATAGTTAACATTATTTTACATTTTTTTTTAAAATCACAGTATCCCCCTTTGACGCAAGCTAACTTACGATTAGTGATGTTACTAAAACACATCAACTCGACGCTTTCCTTAACCGGGCACGTATTTAAGCTTTTGTTGAAGTTTGTCTGGCTCATATTCAGACTCTCTTCGTTCTGACAGCGTACGACATCATGGGGAAAACGGCTCAGAGTTCTCGCGTCGAGTTTCCTGTCGTCTTCACAGTGTGACACTACCGAGTTTCTCTTGTGCCAGGACTCGTTACTACAGCGGTAGTTATCCTGGCAATCAGATGTAAACCATCTGACATCAAAGCCTGAAAACAGTTGATTAACAAACGCGTCATTGTCTTGTGGCTATTTTAAATTCTAACCGATCATAGAAAATGAAACAAATGATCAGTTAATGTATTAACAATGTAAAAAGCCAAATTAATTTTTAATATGCATATAGGCCTACTTAAATAATGTTTTTTAAAAGGATTTTTAGCTTGTTATGCTAATCTCTACAAATAATATGAATTTACAACGTAAAAACCAAATTAATTTGGAGTATGTTTATACTTAAATAATGATTTTTTTAAAAAAGGATTTTTAGCTTCTTATGCTAAGCTCTACAAATAATATGAATTTATTCATTTAAGCTGCGTTAGTAAAAAAAAATATTTAAAAAAATATTCTGTTAGACAATAGTTTATTATTATCTTACCGAGCAGAGGGTGAGTAATGTATAAAATGAAAATTAATTTCCATGACTTTTGGATCTCCATGTCAATGTCTATGAACTATTTTCTCTCCATCGAAAATAAATTAACCTTGAATCAGCCCGCTTTAATTATTGCTTGTTTTATTAATGTTATATATATTTTTACACGTTGATGTTTTATTATTACATTTTAATTCAGGAAATGAAAAAATAAAAGTTGTTTTGCTCTCGGCAGATGTGTGTGCTCGTCCAATTTCAATGCTCAACGGTGCATAAAGAAGATATTAATATAAAGAGTGCGCAATGTAGTTTTACATTGTATTGATTCATTTTGTTTATACGCCTTTCAATTCCATGGATAGAACTTACTGTTACACAAGTCACCAGAAGAGAACCTCAATGACATAGAGCTTAAGCTAGCATTTTCCTACACTGCTCTATTCAACCACTCAAACTTTCTACCACTCCACCACTCATCAACTCCTCCACTCCTCCTTTCAGTCACTCATCCACTCCACCACTCCACCACTCCACCACTCCACCACTCCTCCATTCCACCACTCCTACACTCCTCCGCTCCTCTACTCCTCCACCCCACCACTCATCAACTCTTCCACTCCTCCTTTCAACCATTCATCCACTCCACCACTCCTCCACTTCACCACTCCTCCACTCCCCCACCTCACCACTCATCAACTCCTCCACTCCTCCTTTCAACCACCCCTCCACTCAAACAATCCACTACTCCACCACTACTCCACGCCTCCACTGCTCCACTACACCACTCCTCTACTCTCCACTCCATTACTCTAACACTCCAACACTTCAACACTCCAACACTCCTCCACTCCTCCACTCCTCCCACTCCATCACTCCTCCACTCTACTACTTAACAACTCAACCACTCCACCTCTCATCCACTCCACCACTCTTCCACTCTACTAATCAACCATTCCACCACTCCTCACTCCTCCACTCATCCTCTCCACCATTCCACCACTCCACCTTTCCAACACTCCACCACTCTACCACTCCAACACTCCACCACTCCTTTACTCCTGCACTCCACATCATAACCAAACTCGCGCCACCATTAAATTCACATTACCCCACCACTCCAATCTGGCTCGTACACGACACACTAGCATACTCCACAAAACCACACACGCTACTCCATATACTGTTAACTCACTCATCTGCATACCATACTCACTCCGGCTTCCCCCCTCCCTCAACTTTTCCAAGCCGAAAAACACCTTGTGCCCACTCTGCTAATCTAATCCATTGGCCCAATCAAATGACCTAATTTATTGACCCAATCCGCTAATGTAATCCATTGTCCAAAACCCATAACCTAATCCATTTACTTATCCCATGACCATAAACATTGGCCCAAACCCCTAATTTAAGCAATTGACTAAACCTTATGACCTAACTCAATTAAACTGCTGAATTCTAACATTCCCCACATTTATATTGCTGATACGTTTTAATTACCACCCAGTCAATTATGTCACGAGATCGTATCCAGACAGTTAAAAAGTTAATTACAATAAAGCACATGTATTTTAATTAGTTAAGGCGACATAATATATAGAATCTTACCGATGAAAAAAAATGGCATTCGTTATAGGTGAATAAGGAGAAGTCCTCATTGTGTGTGTGTGTATATATATAATATATTTATATATATACATATATATATATATATATATATATATATATATATATATATATATATATATATATATATATATATATATATATATATATATATATATTTGTATATTAATATATAAACCAACACATAAGTAAACTGGCCCCTACACTTATATGTATATATATATATATATATATATATATATATATATATATATATATATATATATATATATATATATATATATATATATATATATATGTATATATTTGTGTGTGTGTATAGATAAATTATAAAATTTATCTATACACACACACAAATATATACACATATATATATATATATATATATATATATATATATATATATATATATATATATATATATATATATATATATATATATTTGTACATTAATATATAAACCGACACAAGTAAACTGGCCCCTCCGCTTCATACTCCCGCTCCAATAGTAAAAGCCCATGAACATTTTAACACCCAACCTCCTGACCCAATCAACCGACGATGTCCCCTGATTGTTTTTGTCAATTTTACCTTCATAGCGGCCGTAAAAGAGAGAAATTTAAAAAACAAACAAATATGCTTGAAAATGTTCAAAAATCTAATATAAATTGTAAGAATCAAAGTAAAAAAAGTTGCTTAGGCAGAGCACTTGAAAATATATATATTTTTTTAAAGATGAAGACGATATTTCTATTTATTTTATCAAGACTAAATTTTAACCCAATGTTTCACTTGCGTAAGACAAGCATGGATTGGCTGTACAGAAACTCTGTGTCGATTTTCTTTATGTAAACTCCACTATTTACTTTCTCGTATACAGTGTATAAATAAAATATTGTAATCGTGATTTTTGCAAATCTCGACGTTTTACATCCCTCTGAGTCGGGAAAACATAATTTTGCAATCTTGTCCGTATGTCTGTGTGTATGTGTGTATGTGTGTCTGTAAACACGATAACTTGAGTACCGTTACGGCTAGGTTGATAAAATTTCATATATAAGTATATCAAATTAGTAGATCAGTATCCGTATCAACTTTTGAGCGATTACCAATAACCGGAACTTTTTCGACTTTTAATTTTTCAAAAGCCTATAACTTGAGTACTATTTCAGATAGGTAAATGAAACGTGAAAGATATAATTCTCTCTTCTTTTAAATTTTGAGTAATATCCGTTGACAGGAAGTAGTATGTTTTGCTATTTCCGATTTCTAAAAAAAAACGTATGTGAATTTATAAAGTACTAATAATTTTCCGCACTATTATTCACTTGGTGTGCAATTCTTTTTTCTACGAGATTCTATTCTATTTTAAAAAGTTTAAGTAATTAAAAAAGGATTAAAAATCATGTTTATATCGGCCCGAGTTGCCATCCCCCGTTGTGTTAAATAAGAATATTCGAGAAAGTTTAGGCGAGATCTTTCCCGGTTTATTTGTATTATCCGATACAATTTTTTAATAC